CAATACAGACAAAAATGAGAAGTACAGACAAATTATAGAAAAGCGTTCCTAAGGACAGAAGAAGACATACCATTCAAGTGATCACATAGAGGAGTATTCAAAAACTTAGGCAAGATATATCGCAACATTGTAAAGCCATAGTTCGTTCTACATCTAGGTAAAACAAAGCTGTCTTTTTCCCTGGTTGCATAAGGCGTATTGTGGGGCACAGTAGAAACAATACGTGAAAGAAAATTATCGTTTTTAGCTATACTATTTTTGTAAAAACACGCGAATCTATATTCAAATAAATTATATACAGGCACAATTTTAAACTGCGAGTAAGCCTGCCCGGTTGGGGAATTATATGGAGCTTTTGTAATAGCACGTAGCATTTTCTTTTGCAAGATCAGGAGCTTCTGAATATTGGATGTTGTGGTATTACCCCAGACAAGAAAACAATAGCTTAAATATGAATAAAAGAAAGCGTAATACAAAGTAAGTTTAGTTTTTTCAGGTAGAACGTACTTATTACGCGAGGTTATTCCTACAACCTTAGAAAGGGCAAGACAAACCTCGTTTATGTGGGCGTCCCATGTCATCGTTGCGGTAAAACTTACACCGAGGGATCTAAACGTTTCTACATACTCGATAATGGTGTCACTCAAAACTAAAGGCGGTGGGTGCATTACAAGCTTTCCTTTAGGACGAAATATTACAGCTTTAGTTTTTTCTTTGTTGATTTTCAATGAGTTGACTAATGACCACCGTGATAATAATGCCAATACTCGGTTAGCAGTGCCAGTTAGTTGTTCAACGTCAGAGGAGGAAAAGAAAAGGCTCGTATCATCAGCGTAAATCACGTACTTTGCAAGGGTACTAATATTGGAAATGTCATTTATATATATATTAAACAAGAGTGGTCCAAGGATGCTACCCTGAGGGACACCATTAAAAATTTGAAGGGAATCGGAGCGAGAGTGGTTTATTACAACATATTGTAATCGTGAGCTTAAATATGATTTTATAAGGTTGAGGGCGTGTCCTCGTACGCCGTAATGCTCGAGCTTAGCGATAAGTATTTTATGATTTACAGTATCGAATGCCTTACTAAAGTCAATAAAAATGCCAAGAGTAAGACGTTGCGATTCAAAATTGTTCAAAATATATTCTTTTTGGGCAAGCAAGGCGTGTTCCGTTGATCTATTTTTAGTAAACCCATATTGGCAATCGGATATTACAGAATGCTTTAAGAAGAAATGATTGAGGCGGCGATGAATTATTCGTTCTAACCCTTTAGAAAAAAACGGAAGTATAGATATTGGTCTATAGTTACCGAAGTCGTTCTTATTTCCTTTTTTATAAATTACGGCTACTCTGGCTAGCTGCATAGCTGTTGGAAAGTGTCCCGTCATAAGCGCTACATTATAAATATGTGTTAGACATGGTGTAATTATTTGTAAAACATATTTTACTGGGCGACTTTGTATATTATGAAAGTCGAGGCTATTCGTATCTTTCAGACTTTTGAAAATTGAAAAAACCTCAAGCTCGTCAGTCGGTTCAAAAAATATTGATTCTGTTAACCTATCACTTAGAAAATCAAAAATGCCGGAATTATAGTGACTGTCACCTACAGTCGAAAAAAAGTAATTGAATGATGCAGCGAGATCTGAACCCGATAGCTCAGTTCCATTAACCGTTAAGCTTGTGATCGCTTGGGTATTAGTATGTCTATTCAGGAGCAAATTTAGACGCCTCCATTTTTCCTTAAGATTGCTAGAAGTCTGGCGACCAAAGAAATTATTATAATACATGTTTCTCGCCAATTTAATTTCCCTGTTTAGTCGGTTGCGTAAGGACTTATATTCTGCGAGCACGGTAGGATTTTTGTTTTTAATAAATATTGCAAATAATTTGTATTTCTTTTTAACGAGTCTAATTAAACGTCTAGTCATCCATGGTTTACGCGCACTTTTGCATGGTTTTATTTCTACAGTGGGAAAACATTCATTATATACTGATGTGAAGAGCTCTAGAAACCTGTTAAAAGCATCATCTGCAGCTGGCTCATTATAAATAGGGCTCCAATCCACCAAGGAAATACGGTACTTAAATAGGTCGAGCCTTTCTTGAGATATTAGCTGGCGTCTCAATTTAGCGACATCGTTCGAACAAGTTGCTTTTTCTATACGCAAGAAAACAGGTAAGTGATCGCTAATATCGGCAGCGATGCGACCGGAAAAGAATGCGTTGTCATTATTAGTAATAATTAAGTCTAAAGTGGAAGCAGAAGAAGCTGTAATGCGCGTTGGACTGTTAATAACATTTTGAAAACCTGTTGAATGAAGTGTAAGTAACATTTGCTGTTGCATTGGGCTATTCGTACCCATATCAATATTAAAATCGCCAGCTATGATGGACAAATAATTTTCAGAACTAAATAAAAACGTTTCACGTTCAAATATCTCCCAAAATTCGCCAAAGTTTCCATGAGGTGGTCGATAGACAACCGAAAATATATTACGTCCAGATTTCACGGTAAGCATTTCAATATCAGAGTTGGAAAAAGAGTGATCAGATAACATATCACAGGCATAGCTACTTTTTATCAGCATAGCTACGCCCCCGCCACGCTTTTCTGTGCGATTGATATAAAAAGAATTATACCCCGGAATACGTACAACATCACTATCAGCCCGATACCAAGTTTCAGACAAGAAAATGACATCGAAAGTGATTAGGTTTAGCAATCCTGAACGCTCGCAACGTCCGTCCGCAACCCGCGACGCCGCTAAAAGGCTGCGCCAGGCAAAAGCCGCTCATTTCTTTCAAAATGTGTGACACACTTGAGAGAGAAGTATGGTGAAATAAAGACTTTCCTCAAACTAAGCTTTATTTTTCATCTAACATAAAATAAATTCTTTTACAAAGGTAGGTTGTCTCATGGCATGTATTTTGGCCTGAAAAATTGATGTTTTGGTTATAACGCGGTACCGCTTATAGTGCGGATTTTCGCGACTCCCGCGACATACGTTATATGCGGTCTACACTGTAACATGTTACAGGTAACGGCGTTACCAGGAACGCATTAATTTTTTCAGTAACGTAGCGATTTACTCGTTACTTTTTCAACACAGTAACGGGTAACGTACATATGTTACTATTTTAAGTAACGTAGTTACATTACTCGTTACTATTTGCCAAGTCTTAAAAAAATTACACTTCAATTGTTTCCATATTTTTAGGCGTCAGGCTATGTTTTTTTGGGGTTTTTTCTCGTGAGAATTTAAGTGAAACCGTAAAAAGAGATAAAGTAATTATGTTCAGTTTCTGCATGAACATAAGGTTTCTTGATATATGAGCTTATGCATGCCTGTATCGTCAAAACCGTAAAATGTGTGAAATCATAATTTAAAAAGTAACTCAGAAGTAACATACGTGACTTTATCGGTAGCAGTAATGCGTTCCTTTTATTTTTAGGTTACGTAGCTCAGTAACACATACCTTTTATTTGCAAGTAACGAGTAACGTAATCCGTTACTTTTTTCGCTAACGCCTACAACACTGCCCTTCTGCCGACGATCCCTTTCTGCTTGGTAGCACGGGCGTAGCGAGCCTCCGACGAACACTTGGCCGGTGCTTTGTGCGCGAACACCGTGGGAACAAAATCCGGGTGGTCTCGAGCAGGCAACAGTTTCCGTGCACATAAGCAAGCCTCGGGACGGATATTGAAATGGAAGCCGCACTTGCCTTCAAGAAAGTGCTTGCCGCACAAACGGTCGTTCGTGCGAGGCGACCATTCTTTTCGATCCACGGATATTATCCACCTTCTATGCCTTTCAGAGTCTGCCGGGAACTCATGGAAACTCACTCCGCTACTTTTCTTGTACATTTCGGTGCAATTAACGGCAGCACACCCTCGCGGCATGCTGAAATGCTACGACACCCATGCGAAATGTGTGCCCTTTTGCCCACAGGACCCGGCTCTGGCGCGATCGCAGCGCCGCCGCAGCTCCGTGACGTCAAGCCCGCGTGTCGGTTTATAAGAGCCCGATACAGTGTTGCCGAGGGATGAGTCTGAGTAACATCAATTTCGTGGCGGAATGCATGAAAACAAACTTTTAATGTCACTTTGGTCGTGACGTAGCAAGCCCAACTGTCGCGCATCACTCGAAAGAGGCATTCGACGGAAATGACGTTGTCGTGCATTTGTGCAACTAAGGCCAGGATGAACTTTAGGGGATCGGGCAATAGAAGCCTCCTCTACCCCAGCAAGGGCAGAGGAGGCTGCCACACAAGACGCAGCTGTCCGCACAAAGACGAACGCTCGACCTAATTTCCCCAGAAATTTATTTGGCTGGTGTTAGCAGTCAAGCCCTTCCAACACATTTCCTTTTATTGACATTTTTATAATTATGAACTTCTCCTTGCTCAATTAGGGCTTCAAGTTTTATCCGCCAAAAGACTGACACGTGATGTAGTATTTTCGCACAGAGTAATTTGTAATGATGTAGACTGCGAGCTTTTATGCAAGGTTAATTTTAATGTTCCGGCTCGTTTTAATAGGAGTACTTATACTTTTTACACTTGGAACAATCGAATGGCATGGCCTTCGTCTAGAATGCAGATACCTGTCATTAATTTTGGAAATGAGAACTTGGATATTTTCAATAACTATGTTGAATTCAGAAGACAATTGTATAATATGCCATTTTATTCTTAGTAATGTATATAAGTTGCTCGAATGGATTTCTGTTCTTCATACGAATTCATGGAAGTACATTTTGGCATGTGGACTTTGTGCATGATTATTTTCTTAACTTTTACTTACCAGTGCCACATTGCAGACTTCTGGTCATTTATGGGCACAATCAAAAGACATGATGATGATGATGGTGGTTAATTCCTCAATTGTGAGCCTAATCGCCATGGCTTCCGGGTACACCCTGTTCTGGACAAATTGTTCTTCCAAGCAAAAGCACGGTTTGAACGAGCCCCATTTTGCCTCGCCCAAAAAGAAACAGGGGAGCCGATTGCGGAGTCGGCAGCGGAGCCGACTGCGGAGCCGGCAGCAGAGCCGACTGCGGAGCCGGCAGCGGAGCCGACTGCGGAGCCGGCAGCGGAGCCGACTGCGGAGCCGGCAGCGGAGCCGACTGCGGTGCCGGCAGCGGAGCCGGCAGGAGAGCCAGCAGCGGAGGTGGCAACTGCGGTTCCCTGGGACGCGACCTTGGAGAGCCTGTTTGCGGAGTCCATCCGCAACAGCTGGTACCTGCCGGAGCCGGATGGCTCGCTGTCGGGCGGAAACTATGTGAACATTCCCCAAGAGCTGACGGAGCGGGTCCCCGAGGCGTCCTCCCCCGCGAGCGGGGACAAGATGCCCGGCGGCCTGGCCCAGGCGCTGGAGCAGGCGGGGCTGGCCACCCGCAACGCCGCGGGGGGACTCTGGTCCCTGTCGCTGCTGCAGTACAAGCAGCTCACCGAGGACGTGTACGCCAAGATCCGGGAGACGTTTGGGTCGGAGGAGTGCCCGGACTGCGGCCGCCTCTTCCACAGCCGGCTGGACCTGGAGCCCCACCGGCTGACCCACACGGATGACAAGCCCTTCAAGTGCCCCAGCTGCGCTTACTCCTCCGGTTCCAAGGTGGGATGCCCTTGGTCCACGGGGATTTTTTTTGGTGGTCCAAAGTGCTCCGAGCTTCATTTTTAGGTGCTCCAGACTGCTCCAAAATTAATTTTTCGGTGCTCCGAATTGCTCCAAGGATTCATTCTTAGGTGGTCCAGTATGCTCCTAAATTAAATATTAAGTGCTCCAAAATGCTCCAAAATTCATTTTTAGGGGCTCCGAAGTGCTCCAAGGATTCATTTCTAGGCGGTCCAAAGTGCTCAGAGATTTATTTTTAGGTGCTATAGTATGGTCCAGAATGAATTTCTGGTGCTCCGAAGTGCTCCAAGATGCGCAGTCCAAAGTGCTCCAAGATGCATTTTTGGGTGCTCCAGTATACTCCAAAATTACATTTAGGTGCTTCGAAAATCGCTCCAGATCACAATTCCGCAGTAGCATCACTGTTTATTGTTTTCCACGGACGACCACAATGGTTTTCTGACGCTGGGTGAAACAGGCTGAAGCTGCCCATCTGCCAATGTCTATACAGTATACTGGACCTATACCATATACTTACTATACTATAGTTACTATACTTACTAGTTCACTATGCTGCCTGACTTCGTGGCAGTATAGTGGACTAGTGAGGCTGCAACTCACCATAGGATCCCGTAAGGGCGCTTACCCAAAATGAAGAGATATATGGAGAAAAAAAATTTGTGGTTTACTATCTTTGAGGATGAAACAGCAAAACTTTATACAACAACAACGATAAACACAGGAGCACCCACTACAAAACCACGTGACAGGGGAACTCGTCTGCAGTTCGCGGACACGGTGAATTTGCGTTTCGAAACGTAACAAACTGCGGGAATTCACTGAGAACTCCCGTGTCGTGGGAAAGAACACCGCGCAGACTGCGGATGCTGCAGGTTTGTGTTTTGCAGCAATTTTTATGTCGCGGATATTTGGCCAGAAAAACGGGACGGGCGATCTCTCGGGGGAGGGCACCCTTAGGGGATTTGGCGGTAGTTTCGGTTTTACCCTGTTTCTAATATTAAAAAATTCTTCAAAGGGTCTCGGGGAAATTTGTTTGCCGCTCTAAGCTCAACTTCTCGCGCTCTTGAAGAAACTACGTTTAGTTGAAATTGACGCTAGAGCTCTCTTTTAAGGGAGAGCTCCATTACCCAGAAAAAACAATTTTTGCGAAAAGTTGAGTTTGAAAAATGTCATATTTACATACGCTAACATCTAGAGAATATTCCCAGAAAGTTTGATTAGTTTACGCTGCATAGTTCACTTTTTATAAATTATTTTCGGTCCACTGACGCTAAAGAAAAGGTAGAGTTTGGAGCGCTTTGAACGCATTTTTGTCCATTCCTCTTTTTGGCGAAAATTTCGCATTAGGAAAACTGTAGTTTTGTTATTACGTAACTTGGATTCATTTTTAGGAGTTTTTCTGGGGTGAACTTTTAAGGGAAACATATCTATGAGCTTGTATTTTTTATTTTTGCTGTTTTTCGTGCTCAAGAACTAAAAGTTTGGACAGAAGATGGAAATCTAAAAAAAAAAAAACTATTTGTGTTTATGCGGCTTTTTCGTTACGAAAGACCGTACAATACAGAAATATAGCTCTATAGCTATCTGCTCTGAACTGTCCTAAAGCAGCGTAACACATGAAAAAGACTAATTTATGAGTAATTTCCAAACTATGGTTTTCCTGCGGAGACACACCCACTTTCTTCTTTGCACATTTGCAATTTTTTTTGTTCTTCACCCGAGTTAACAAAATTTGGCAGAAATGTTCTCAACATGAACAGAAACAAGCCCCGTAAAACGTCGTTTAAATCAAACAAGTATTCAAAAATTCACTTTTTTGGGGTTAGTGTCCCCCCTTAAAGTTCTCTGGAAGTGTAGCAAATTGCCCAAATGTTTCCGTCACGGGCCGGATACCCGGACGAAAGCAGTCCCCTCTAGACTTCCATCTGCAAATGATTAGTGTTGTGGGTTTGCTCAGCGAGGGCATACCTTCACAGGACAACCTGAAGCGGCACCAGGAGACTGCGCACGAGGGGCGGACCTTCCCCTGCGACCAGTGCGACTTCGTGGCCCAGTCCCGCAGCTCGCTGTTCCAGCACAGGCAGAAGCACGCCGCCGTGGGGGTGCAGGGTCGCTGCCCCGCCTGCCAGGGGCAGTTTCCCTCGTGGCGCATGCTGCGCCAACACCTGCTCTCGGAGCACGGCGACCTGGATCGCCAGGAGCTCTTCAAGGTGGGTTTCTGCGGCGGCGTTTCATCCCACTTCTTTTGCAGGCTGTCAGTTGTTTTAGGGAACCAAGGCCATGTTCTTGAGGAAGCAGACATTTTCAACTTTTAATTGCTTGAAACCGTCGGAGATAAGCACTAAGGAAACCTAGCTGTTGTACCGTTTGTTTCGCGGCCCCAAAATTGTGTAACTTTGGAATGTTTTGCCACGGAATCAACCGAGGATTATGTACCATACAGTCAAACCCTGATATGTCAAATTCAACGGGGATCGTAAAATAGTTCTATATATATATATTGTATTAAACAAGATTTTCGCTGTGTCATAGTAGGTGTTTGTTATCGTCCATCCCATTTTAATCTCTCAGATCTCAACGTTTCATTATACCATGCCCTTGGAACTGTCACCGAAGAATTTCCTACCACAGTGTAGACCGCATATAACGTATGTCGCGGGAGTCGCGAAAATCCGCACTATAAGCACTATAAAATTGATGTTTTGGTTATAGCGCGGTATGCGCTATAACCAAAACATCAATTTTTCAGGCCAAAATACATGCCATGAGACAACTTACCTTTGTAAAACAATTTATTTTATGTTAAATGAAAAATAAAGCGTACTCTGAGGAAAGTCCTTATATCGCCAGACTAGTACACTTCTCTCAAGTGTCACACATTTTCAAAGAAATGGGTGAGTTTTGCCTGGCGCAGCCTTTTAACGGCGTTGCGGACGGCCTGGTCTTCGACAACGCTAAGGCATTTGAACACCTCTTCACTGAAGGAGTTCTGCTCCCAGTGAACCTTCAGTTTCTGTAAGAATTCCAGTGCGTCTTCACTTGAAATTTCCGGCGTGCTCTCTGCGTCGTCGTCCAGCTCATCTTTGTGTGGACTCGCCCCAGAACCTCTCAGCGCTGCAACAATAGCTTCATCGACGGTTGCTTCCTCACGCACAACAGAGTTGTCGTCATTCTCATCTACATAGTTTTGAAACGTGTCGTTTGCAGGAACAATGCGGTTTTCCCCAAGGTCGGACCACACGTCGGTCGCTCCGATCGCCTCGTCAGTCGCATCACTGCGCGGATCGGTGTCCTCCGAAGTCCCGGCATCGCACACAAACCCTGCGTTGCGAAAACACTTCTGGGTGGCTGTGGCCTTTACTTGCAACCATGACGCGGATTTTTGATGGCGTCTCTCAAGTCCTTGAGGGGTTCTTCTCGTTGCAATCTCAAGACGGCTCTTTCGCACACGCGCTTCTTGTAGAGCGCCTCGACTGTAGCGATGACGCCCTGAACGAGAGGCTGGCTTTTAGCAGCGGTGTTTGCCGGCAGGAACTTCAAACTGACTGCACTTAATTGTAACTGCACATTGTGAGTGCTGCAGTTGTCCAGGATAAGGACGACGCGTCGTTTTTCAGCGACCATGGGATCATCGAAACTTTTCAGCCAACTAGAAAAGAACTCTTGGGTCATCTAGGCCTTTCCATTTGCTGTGTACACCACAGGCAGACATTCTCGCTTCTTGAAGCAATGGGGTCGTTTGCATTTCCCGATGATGAACAAGCGCCGCTTGTCGGAGCCGTCCATGTTTGAACAAAACAAAACCGTGACACATTCTTTTGATGCTTTGCGGCCGGAACAGGGTTCACCTCTTGTCGCGACAGTGCGATCGGGTAGCATGTCGTAGCACAGACCAGCTTCCTCAGCATTATAGATGTCTTTGTCCGTGTACGCGGAAAGCATAGTCTCGAGATGAATGCGAAACCACGCCTGGATGGTGGCGTTGTCGACTTAGCCACTTTCGCCCGAGATAACTTTGCAGCTAATCCCGGGGCGATCTTTAAACCACTGGATCCATCCATTGAGGGGCTTGAAGCCTCCGTATTCGAACAAATGTCCAAAGGACTTAGCTTTCGCTTGTAGCATCGAGCCACTCACTGGGGCGTTCTTTGCCTGCACTTCGCGAAACCACCTAAACAAGGCTTCGTTGACGTCCCCATACTTTGACAATCCTCTTTCTTGAGAGCGACGCAGAATCTTGCTGTAGCTGTTTACATACCTGCTCCCGGTTCTTCCAGACAGCAGAAACCGTCGTGTCAGCGACGTTGTACTTGGCCGTGACGGAAGCTGTTTTCGTGCCACTTTCGACATCTTCGACAATGCTTTGTCTAGTTTCGAGAGACAGGGCCTGTCGTTTATTTTTATATCTTTTTCTTTCTCTGCTAGCTGTATGCTTGGCGTATGCAATAAGGGGTACAAATATATTAAATAGGCTGTCAGGCTTTTTGTAGGTGCCTTTTAGGCATCCTGCAAAAAATGATTTTGAAACTGCTAAGTTCGAAAGTGTCATAAAAGCCTTATAAATCATCCTAGAGCTTTCATTTATACCTTATTGGATTCCACATAGCTCTTAGTTCACTGCTCTATGTTTATTTTCTTATTTCAGTATTTCACTTTGTCTTAATCCTTCCCATAATCCTTGCAAAATAAATTTTTAATATTATTAAAATTAATTGGGTAACATCAAAACCAAGTACATATTTGTAGTCAGATTGTAATCGCAAATAAGCCATGTATATTCCATTTGAATTGAATCGCAAGTTATATAAAAAGCTGTAGAAGCAGTGTTCCATGTGGGGCTTTAGAGTTATCTTCTTATTTATGAAAGAATACTTATCATATTATACACTGATATAAGATACAGTGTAGACCACATATAACGTATATGTCGCGGGAGTCGCGAAAATCCGCACTATAAGCGGTACCGCGCTATAACCAAAACATCAATTTTTCAGGCCAAAATACATGCCGTGAGACAACTTACCTTTGTAAAAGAATTTATTTTATGTTAGATGAAAAATAAAGCTTAGTTTGAGGAAAGTCTTTATTTCACCAGACTAGTACGGTTCTGTCTCAAGTGTGTCATACATTTTGAAAGAAATGAGCGACTTTTGCCTGGCGCAGCCTTTTAACGGTGTCGCGGGTTGCGGGCGGACGTTGCGAGCGTTCAGGATTGGTAACCCTAATCCCTTTTCTCCGGTGATAAAAATGCGGGAAAATTCGCATCCTTCATACGGTACGCGTCAGTAGTACCTTCAACTTGAGCACATGCATGAAATGCGCCAAATAAGAAATCCGGGCGATGTTCGAGGACACAAATGCTTAGAAATCACCATTTTAGTCGAAGTAAACAAACACAACGACATGGGCGTTTCTGCCATCTTGAGAGCGTCGCCACGACATCGCCGCATGAGTAGTTGGATCTTCCCTTTTAGTACGTGCTGGGTTATCATAGCGACACACAACGAAAATTCACAGTCAAGGATAGCGCTTTTACGCGGAACGATGAGCTTCCACCACGCCGTCTACGATGACGATCACAACCGACGCCATGTTTGCGGATAGAAGAAGCTGGCCTGCGACCGGCATGCAACGCGCGCGAACACTTCTCCTCGACCTGCGATTGGTCTGTCGTTGCGGTTGTTTTCCAACTCAGCAGAGGGACGCACACACGTGAACGACACGTGCGTGCGTCCCTCCGTCGCTATGGCATCTGAAGCCTCTTTCTTCGCTTCTCCCCGCTTCTTCGAGCAACCTCCTTGCCCCTCGAGTGCCGCTTGCGGCTAGCGCCTCTAGCGCCGTTATCTAGTGTCGCACAGGGAAGCGTGCTCACTGCTCCGGTCGTCGGCGCGGTCGGCGGGCTGTTCCAGAAACCGCACTATAACCGGTATTTCCCTTCACGCGCCTGCATTTTAAGCGGTATGTAATTATATGGAGTTCTATGGGAGGTGAACCGGTGGTTTAAAAAAAACGCGTTATACCCGGTCTTGCACTATAAGCGGTTACGTTGTAAGTGGTCTATACTGTATATAATATAATAACTTTATTTTCCAAATGAATTGGAGGGACAGAAGGGAAAAAGCCTCCACTTGACGAGCCCGAAGCCCCATACGATGACAGGCGCAGCAGCACAAAAAGAAGAGAAAAAAAAAGCGCACACACACATATACATAAGAAAGACAAAAACTACATCAGAATTATTGTAAACACTACACAGTAGACACTGTTGTAGCCTTAAAAATAACCTTATACAGTTCAGACAAACAAGTAGATAATAGATAACATAGTAGGCATTGATGAAGAATCACAAGCGCAAATAGAATGAACTCAAATCTTTAGTTGATATGGAGTCTAAACAAATTTCGTTGCTGGCGAGGTAGTTGAGCAATTTAGGTATAGTGTAACGTAGAGTTTGTGTACCATAGTTTGTCTTACAGCCGATAACCTTCCAGTATTCCATGTGTCGGGTTAAATAGACGTGATCGTTCGGCACTAACTCGGATAAGTCTGACAAGAAACGCATATTTTTCTTGTTCTCGAGTTTTAAGCTGATGCATAATCTATAGTCATAGACATGGGCGTACCAACCGGGGGGGCAAGGGGGGCACTTGCCCCCCCAGTTCTCAGAGTGGGGGGGCAAGGCATGCGTTTTGCCCCCCCTGAAACGGCCGCCACTGGGCAGAGCAGACACAGGCCGGCGGCGCCCAAGGAATACCAAGGGCACTGCCCCCCGACCCGCGCGGGCATATTTTTAACGCGCAGGCGATACAAACCCTAGCAACGGTGCTCACGCACGCCGGATTGGCTGGTTTGTGGAGCCTTGCCCCACGAACAAGGCTACACGGTAACCTAACGGAATCCATCCGCGAGACATGGGCCGGACGGGCCGTCCAGACCAGGACGTAGGCCCTTACACAAAATAAAGTTTTGCTTGCTTGCTTGGAGATAGGCGCTGCCGCCGTCAACATAGGCAGCGGATGCAATGCGAGTTTCCGAAGAGGTATACCGTAACTTACTGGTGAGATGTCTGCCTCATACGTGTCAGACCCGGGTTCTATTTATGGTGTGGGCCGGCTTACTTCTTTTTATTTTTTTTCTCGAACATTTTGTTTTGTCGAGGCATTTGGCGATATTTACATTTCTTTTTTACCATTAACACTAAAAAAAACGAATGTTTTTGACGAAACATCGCTAAACTAAATCGTATCGACTCTATTTACGGAAGTGCATGGGGGGCAGCGGGGCTTGGGTTGCCGACCGGACGCCGCAAAGCGGCGTGTACGGGGGGTGGGGGGGCTAGGTGGGTTAATAGATTTGTAATTAGTAGCCGCACACCGTCACCGCAAAGCGGTTTGAACGCAGGCGCGGGGGTGGGTTAACGCGCTTCGAGTGATACACGAGCAGCCCATCCGGCGTGAGCGTCGTTGTTAGGGGTTCTATCGCCTGCACCGTAAAAGGAGCAGTGTGTGCACCTCCTGTAGTGGGCAAGAATTCCTACATTGGAGAGAAGCGGGGACAAGCCCTTTCTTCAAATGCGTCAAGTCTCCTTGAGCTTCGGAATACAAACAAACGCCACTATTCGGAGCTCATCCCACAGTTACTCGACCTCTCTTGCGTCGTGTCTGTTCGCTCCCCGCGCCTCGTAGCAGTGTTGTTGCAGTGGGGGGGCTCGTTAAGATTTTGGGGTTTTTTGGACTATCTAAATCACTTTCTTCCTTCCCATCCCCCCCCCTTTTCTACTCCGCATGCTTCCCCCTCTGCAAATATCAGCTGACCTTCCGACATCTTTTCTGTGTTGATAGGCAAAACAACCACTAAAATTAGAAAGTAATTTGTAATTTGAGTGAAAGTCACTCGGAAAAGTAGTTAAAGTAAACTACAAATTACTAGAATATAAATGTAATTAAAAGTTACTAAACTACCCAGAAAAGTAGTTAAACTACAGTGACTTGAGTAAAGTAGTTGAACTACGTACAAGTCTGGCCCGGCAGGCGCTCTGCGTAAGGGTTTTCACCTATCTGCCTAGCCCCGCACACCATCACATGGGCCAAGAAAGGTGTAGTTTTACTGCAGAGGAGAAATCAGCAGGGTCAAAGATGGTGACAATGGAGGATGGGGGACTGTTCCAGTGGCTGATGGCTTGAGAAAGGAATGACCAATTGAAAGCGTTAGTAGAGTCAGAAATGTGCTTGATGGTGCAGACGTTGTTGAGGCGAGAAGATGTTCGGTCGGGGGGTAATAACAAAGTGGTTTTGAGGTCGGGAATGTGGTAGTAGATTTTGTGAATAAAGCACAGCTGAGAGACTTTTCTGCGAAGCTGCAAAGAGGACATGGTTAGTTCAGTTTTAGCGCTGAGACACTGAAAAAAAAAGTCATAAGTGGATGAAATGAAGCGAGCAGCTCTGTTCTGAACTGCCTCTACAGGGTATTGATGAGGTACAGTCGATGGGTATTCCAGATGGTTGAAGCATATTCTATTTTTGGTCTGACGTACGTGTCCAAGGTTAGCTTACGAACAAAGGGTGGAGCCCTTTTTAAGTTACGTCTGCTTAGTCCAAGAGTTCCAGATGAATCGGCAGTAATGACTTCAATGTGGTTATTTTAGGGAAGGTCAGATGTTAGTCTTACACCAAGGTATTTATACACAGTAGCGGTCTCAATCCGATCGGAGTACAAGAAGTAATTAAATGACAGTGTTTCTTTTTTTTCTTGGTGAAGTGGATTAGTTTGCGTTTATACTTGTTTAATGACATAATCCACTCTTTGCACCAATTGTTAATTTTCTCTAGATCTTCCTGAAGCTGGTTATTATTTTGCACACAAGTTACTTTGTTATGGATGACGCAGTCGTCGGCGAAAAAGCGGTTTTTTGAAGAAATCCTAATGGGGATGTCATTAATAAATATTAAAAAGAGTAAGGGCCCAAGTACGAACCCCAGGGGAACACCAGGAGATACATTTATTAAGGAAGATTCATGATCATCATGGACGTGACTTGTACACGGGAAAAAAGAATGTCACGAATCTATGCAAACGGTTATTTGGTCGAGGCAAAAAGATGATAGCTTAGAAAGAAGGCGTTGATAAAAAACACGGCCGAACGCTTTGGAAAAAAAAAAAAAATAAAAACTGCGTCAGTTTTTTCATTTCAAGGTTCAAGGTTCAAGGTTAGTGTGCAAGTCATGGATGAAGTCGCAGAGTTGTGTTTCGCAGGAAAGTACAGTCTCCGGCGATATGAAAGACCCTATTGGGAGCGCGTGGCCGAGGCGGTGGCTGGTGGGGGCGCTGCGAGCGCTCCGGGCAGTTCCATTCTGCTTCGAGGGGAGGACGCTCATTCGGCACTCGGCACAAACTGATAAGCGCGTTTCGCTTTATCTGAGCCCGAGTGAGCGTCCTCCCCTCGAAGCAGAATGGAATTGCCCGGAGGGCTCGCAGCGCCCCCGCCAGCCACCGCCTCGGCCACGCGCTCCCAGTGGGTCTTTCATATTGCCGGAGAGTGTACCTTTTTGAAAACCGTGCTGCTGTTTAAAGAAAAGAAATGGGATGATAGGTGCCTCATGACATTGGAGTAGAGGATATGCTCAAGTAGTTTGCAAGAAATTGAAGTCAATGAATTAGGGCGATAATTAGATGCGGAAGAGCGGCTGCCCTGTTTAAAGACTGGGAATTACCCTTCCCACCTTTTGGTCAGATGGAAGGCACCTTTGAGATAAGGACTGAATAAAGATAAGTTTTAAATACTCACTCGAAATAACACTGGTGTTTCTTTTAAATTTTAGAGTTGATGTTATTGGTTCCAGCGGACGAAGTAAGTTTTAGTTTATCAATCAATGTTATAATACCGGCGGAGTTAACGTTAATAGGATGCATGCGCTCGTAAAGCTCTTCAGGGAGAGTGGGGACGGAGTCCAAGCACTCGTTAGTAAACACTGATGAAAAATATTCGTTAAACACAGAACTATCATGGTCGACGTTGCACATCCGACCATTCCTAACTCTCCCCATCTTCCTAAACGTCCGTGTGTGTCCGAACACCAGAAACCGGAATTTTAAAGGTTAAAAACGGCACGTTGCGAATATGGAACGCGCACTTTCATGCAAAGCTGACGTCAAGTGACTCAAATCGAAAAACATGCATATTTACAATATTGTTATCTCTTCTGGTGAAGGCTCAGCAACCGTTGCATCCGTTTTCGCGCACGAAACGGCGACTACCAGAGAAAGTAAGAACGCAGTGATTGCCTTTATTTTAACAATGTAAACACACTTGCAGGCGTGCGCTGATGAAGCCTCAAAATCAAAGCTCTCGTAGTGTGATTCGTGACTGTGCCGGCTACTACCCAACCTCGTTGTCACGCCACTTTCTGGAAGCATACACCAACATTACAAGTAAACACACAAAAGCGACATCGATACAATTATCTTCTAGAATATCACCTTATTTAGTCATAACTCTTTCAATAGGCACTACAAGTTGTATTTATTTTAAGAAGAAGAAGCAACATTTTTTTCGTGAGAAAAAACAAAATATCAATGTTAAGTCTGGTAACGTTGTAATTTTGCCGAATCATTGCCAAATCTTTAGAAAAGTTGGACAAAAGTTGCGCCGAATTTTCGATTTAGGGGGGGGGGGGGAGAGGGTCTGGTTTGCCCCCCCACTCAAAAACAAGTTGGTACGCCACTGGTCATAGAGGCTAATTATTTTTAGCATTCTGAACTTTTGAAACAGACCCTCACTATGGTAATCATAAGGCATATTACAAATAATTCTCAATATCCGTTTTTGCAATAAATTAGTTTCTGCAAGTTTGTGAATGTCTCGCACCTATTCCAAGCGTGCAATCAGATACTGAATATCAGGTCGTTGGCGAAAAATTATTCGTACATTATCAAAATTTTTAATGCAACCACATTCACAAAAGTGTAATTTGTGCGGTGATGCTATTTTAGATCTCACCTGAGAGCGTTACGTTACTAAAAAACTAGTGTAATTATAGTGTAAAAGGCTTGCTTTTTGTATTTAAGAAAGTAATTATTTGGATAGAACTCGTTGGGAGACAAAAAATAGCATCACCACGCAGCTCCATTCTTTGCGATTAAAATGGCACCAAACGTGTTAATATTGTTCAAGACAAACTAACATAAAACGCCTATAAGGCATCGGTAGTTGTGAAAAAATTGTGAAGAGAGAAAAAAAGCCCTTGAAGTATGTGTATTCCTATTAAATGTTAATGAAAAATTAAGACTTTGTATTTTTTTTTTCATATTTAAAAATTATATGAGCAATATTATTTTGCGCAGAGCTGGCTGGGTATGTCTAAACATCAGAATAGGCATTTTCTCAAAACTGACTTTTCCCCAACTTTCTACCATTTTTAAAGACCAGCCTCCCTCCTTCAATCGAGGTTGGTTTTGTTGAAATGTGACTGTGGCCTAGACATCCTACGGGGAGTAGAGGGAATAATCCGGCGGAGTTTCCCGGTCGCAGGCGATGGGAGGTCAGCCGCGGGTGATGGGCCGCATGGGGCGGCGCACGTACAAGTGCCCCTACTGTGGCCGGGTGTTCCACCGCTCCAGCACGGACCTCCAGAAGCACATGTGGATCCACGAGGGAGTCAAGCCCTTCCAGTGCCCGGACTGCCCGTACCAATGTCGCAGCCGGAACAACCTCAACGTCCACCGGCTCACCCACTCCAACGACAAGCCCCACCTTTGTGACCAGTGCGGCAAGGGTTACAAGTCCAAAGCCGCCCTCAGACTCCACACACGGTACGGTCGGCGAGCGCTCCTCAACCGTGCAACTAAACTGGCTCTGCATCCGAGCATCGTCGGAAAGCAGGAAAATTGTATCGATGACGCGGTTATCGCTTGACTACCGTTGTATACTTGCGCAGGTAGCTACTGCTCCAATATCTTTGCATGGAGCTTCCCGTCCATTCTGATTCAACACATTAGCATCACTTTGAGCGCTCTCATCAATTTGATGAACTCCGAGTGCTTTTTAAGATTTTTTAGGTTGAAATATGCACCTCATAGCAACGACCTCGTACGTGAACGTATATTGAGCAGTTTTATCCCTATGCTTAGAAGGGGTACGATAATGACGATAGAAACATACAAAAACCTTTCCGAGATGGGTGATACCCTATGATACCTATGATATCCGTAAATGACGATCACACGTTTGTATTTTGAGCGGATGGCTATATTTTTAGTTTTAATCGCCCGACGGTAGCGAGCGCTTTGAAATCGGCCATCGAGGAGTGCGATCCATCGCGGGAACGCCATCGCATTCGTGACGTTAGGCTCCTTGGCACAGCCAAAGGCTGGCGTGATTATGAGTGCCGCCGCCCCGTGGCAGCTTTTGCGTGTTACAGTCTCGCGTTTCGGAGTGGATGGCGCAGCTGCACGGTCGTGACACATTCATTTCGGCCCTTGAAGCTTGCGTGCTGTTGACGCAGCCCTCTGCTGCGCAATAGCGCGGCATACTGCGCACAAATGCGACGAATAAACTCGGAAAGAACTCGACAATACCAAAACAATTGCACGCCTCGCAAAGCGGCGCGATTGCTTCGTCGCGTTCGCGGCTAGGGAACCCGTACGAGTAGGGAGTGCCGCGGAGCGTTACGCCACTACGGGAGGTGCAACACGTCGCGGTCCCCCAACAAAGCTTCGACCCTCCAATCGCCCGGTGCAAGCGGGAAATCATTTTACTTGTTTTAAAATCGCTTTTCTTGCGCTTCCAAACGAAAGACCGATGTTTCTCAAGTGCTGATGGGACACGCTGTATACTACCTAAGCAATAAAATGAGCCCCAAACTTTTGTTTCCGTACCCCTTTAATACAGTAAACTTCCGTTAATTCAACCTCGACGGGACCTTGAAATTTGGTTGAATTATCCAAATGATCGAATAAAAAAAAGAGGGCAGAAAACAGTTAAAATTAAACTTTCTTTTGTGGTCCAAAGTACTCACGGATGGTCTGCTGCTGCCTGCGCTAAAAACGCGTCTCCAAAAGCATGCTCCGGAGAGCAGCGTAACTAGTCATGTCCCAAAAAAATCGCGCACCAAAAAAAAATAAAAATAAAAAAACCTTTACGAGTTGACTTTGGCGCCGGGCAGCCAGACCGTCAACGACAGAGAGAAATAACAAAAAAAAAAAAAAAAATGGGAAAAGAGAACTCGCACTTTCCTGCACGCAAGATGGACCGCACACGATGCTAAAGAAAAGCGCTTTGAGAGTGCACGCTGAGAAAGCTTTACGAGCCGACTTTGGTGCCAGGCAAGCCACCTCGGTGGCTCCGAGGCGAGATCGTCGGCCTACGGATCCCCATGTGGCGGGTTTGAATCCCGGCCGAGGTGCCCGCAATCTGACGGAGGCTTATTGCGGAGAGGCGCCGTGTAACCGAGCTTTCGGTTACACGTCAAAAGATCCCCAGGTGGTGGAAATTAATCCTCAGTCCTCCGCTGGGGCGTGCCAGATGCCCGCCGTTGGTTTGGCACGTAAACCCCCAAATTTGACTTTTGGTGCCAGGCAGCCAGACCGTCGGCGACAAAGAAAAATAACAACAAAAAAGAAAGGGAATTTGCGCTTTCCGGCGCGCAAGATGGACCGCACACGATGCTGCAGACAAGCGCTTTGAGAGCGCGCGCTGTCTCCTCACCCGACCACGTGCTATGTTCTCTGCGCTACTCCACGCCAGAGGGGTTGCGCTGGCTCATGTCATTCGCTACGGTCCATCTCAACGGCGTAGAGGAGCAGGCGCATGTTTGCGCACGTTCGGCTTTGAAGCAAAGGGCCCATGTTTCGCCGTACGTTGGTGGTTTTTCTGCCGTGGTGCCGTGCAATGTGAGCCTGCGCGCACTCGCTCGGGACGTATTATCCGATGCAAAGTCTTCCCAAGTTCAAACTATCTAACTTTTCCTCCCATTAGAATGTATGGGCGCTCGCCGGGACTTTTGAGCACGATCGAATTAAACGAAAAGTCGAATTAACCGAGGTCGAACTAACGAAAGTTTACTGTACCACAAATTCAAAAGAGAACACGGTAACCAAGTGTTCCGAACTACTTATGACGTTACGATGCTCGGTAGTACATATTTTATCTTAGAATGGAGGACAGGGACGAAAAGCGTGCACTTTTTCCAATAGAAAGGCAATAGCGAGAGTGATTTTTGCTCGAAAAGGTGTCGCCACCTTCCCGAGCAAGAGCAGTTGGCTAAGACGAAGATGCTCTCTCTCTAGGAACTCTGGAAAGCAGAATGGACCTTTTTCCAGTAAGCGTCTGCGCACGCGCACACCCTTTTCCCTTGACCTTGACCGCCCTTTCGCCATTCTTGGGGGGCACTGTTTTCTTGCGGCACTAATCTGTTCCTATGGGAGAAGGCGAGTCCGGTTGCCCTCCATTTGTAGTAGGCGGCGAAACCGCCATGAGGCACTCCTTACTGGAAAAAGGTCCATTGTTTGATTCTGCTCACATAACAACAAGGAACAGAGTTTGGTCAACGAGCGGTCGAGGTCTTTGGGTGCCTTGGGTATCCGGTCAAGGTCTTTGGGTGCCTTGGAATCCAGCTGGACTGCTGGAGGCCGTCCAGCTGGGACCTGGGCTGGTTCCAGCTGGACTGTCCAGCTGGAAGTGGACCGATTTTTGCCTGGGACATGTCGACCAGTGAGAGACGCTTGCCCCGACTTGCAGGACCCACGGACGTGGCGTGCTGTACCCCTGCAACAAGTGCGAGTACACGGCCACCCAGAAGTGCCACCTGAAGCGCCACCTGGAGACGCACGACATCATCCGGCGCTATGTGTGCGGGCACTGCTCCTACTCGTCCAACACTGTCAACTACATGAAGGTGCACTACAGCCGGAAGCACCGGGGAGAGGTGTTCAACCAGAACACCGTCATGGCAGACCCCAGCTTCATTGAGCGGCAGAGAGATCGGGTCTACAAGTGCCTCAGCTGTTCCTACATCTTCGGCAACATGAACGACATGAAGAGGCACCTGAGGGTGAGTTCTGGCAACACTGCCTCTAGTGACATGAAGAGGCACCAAAATCCAAAACGGCTTCGGCCAATTACATCACTGAGATTGCTCATTTAAACTAACAAACCGTTCGATCGACATCTAATGCGACATCCATTTGAGACATTACAACGATGTAGACGTTATGCAATGTCCGTAACAACAATATAATTTAAATAAAAGAAGAGATATTGGATTTTGTTTTTATCTGACCTGCGAGTGAAGAAAGCACTTTTGTAGTTCAGTTATAATTACCGTCGATAAGACGCAACAAACCCTGGGATTGCAACGAGCGTCTTGGGACGTTACACAACATTTTTCCCCGCTGGCCCTATCCCGTCCAGAATAACGATTGCTCGTAGTGTTAGCATAAACGTTCAGCAACGCACCCAAAATAATCCCCAAGGCAAGCTAACCGGTCAACTGCGCCGTCAGAAGCTGCCACTTCCTCGTTTTGTGCGTCCATCGAGATGCCCAACGTATTTCCGATCGGTCGATATATCTCTGAACGTAGGGATGTAATAGAGTCGCATAAAGAGCTTCCGAACATTCCCGATGAGGTTTTGAAGGGGGGAAGTAAATTTGGAAACTTGGAAACGTGCGCAGCTGAAGCACGGCGTGTGCCTGGAGAACCTGAGCGTGGAGGAAGTGTCCGGGGACGTGCTGGCCATGGAGACGGCTACCGTGGGCGCCGAGGAGGAGACGGCGCTCGGCGCAGAGGCCGACCGAGTGGAGTTGGTGCAGGAGGCCACCATCCTGTCGCCCGGCTCGCTGCAGGTACGCTTCCCAGTCGGGGGCCAGGGTTCCTCCCACGCCTTTTCCGAAATACAGTCGACTCCCGTTAATACAAAGCTCACGGGGATTGCGAAAAATTTTGAATCAAACAAACTTCTAATTAACCACAAAAAAACGAAAAGGTTAATTTTTATTAATTTGTAAACTGACTGTATATGAAAAAAAAAATCGGTGATTGCTGTCTGCTTCTTCTTGCAGCATCTCTCAGCGGAAAGTAAGTTCTGCAGACTGTAGATGTGCCCGAATGCTTCTTCAGCATTGTTCTCTGCTGCGAAAAACTGCTGCGCGAAGGCAAGGCCCGCAACTACATCAGCAGCCGGCGGTTGCGGCTCAGTTTCAACGTCGTCGTCCATGTCACTTTGGTTGCTAGCCTCGCGTGGCCGAACAATCTTCGATGATTTCAGTGTCCGTCAGCGCACCGCTTGTTTCCACTCTGCTGTCCATAGCAATGTACCCTTTGAAACAGACGTCGCCGAGAGCTGCTGTGAGACCACTCGTCAAGCTCACTTGTCTTTGCTTCCTCCGTTGGACAAGACGAATCACCCCCCAAAGCACTTGTTATGAAACCACAGGCCCTGAAGCAGTTGGGAATGGTTTCTTGTTTAACGCGACCCCGAGCTTGCACTGGCATGTGGATGGCACTAAGAAGGCTTACCTCGTTCTGAATGGAGTTATTTACGCACAATATCATCTGCTCGAGAAGATGTTTTCTGTACAACACCTCTACATTTTTTGTAATGGGTAAAAAACATGGGTTGCAACAGCGATGTCGCGTTAGCTGGCAAGTAAGGCGGATGGCACTCGGGGACGGCACATTCATGTTGACACCGCACTGATCCACAACAAAATACCTTTGCGGTTTGATGACGCAAACTTGCGATCCAGTTTTTTAAGCCAGTCTCGAAAAATGTCAGACGTCATTCATGCCTTTCTATTGGATGCGTAGTCCACAGGAAGCATTCAGACGCCCTTAAAACATCTAGGCTTAGCGGCCTTCCCGATCACCAGCAGGCAAGATCACTCAGTGCCAGACATGTTGGCCAAAATCAAAACAGACACAGTGTCTTTACTACGTTTTCCTCCAGTACAATTATCATTCCTGAATGTCGGAGTCTTCTCTGGTAACATCCAATAAAAAAGTGCGGCCTCATTGGCATCAAAGATGTCTTCCGGCTGATATTCGTTTGCAAAGCTTCTTTCTTCCACGTCGCGCATGTTTCCTGGTTGACTGACGCCCTTTCCCCCCTCACGCTCTTAAAAACGAGGTCGTAACGATGCTTGAAGTGCGTCGGCCATCCATCGGAAGAAAGGAACCTGTCGATCCCTAACATTGTTGCGAGCGACGAGGCTTTCGCTGCAACAATATTGCCACTGAGGGGAAGTCGGTTGCTTCGTGCTTCCTTAATACGAGAGAGCAGCGGTTGCTGTAACTCCGGGGAGGCACCGGTGTGCTTTCTCTTTCGAGACGTCTTGAATTGATCATTCTCAAAAGCATCCAGTATCGAGCGCTTGTTCTTGATGAAATTTGAGGGGGTGTTGGGCTTGATGCCATATTTTCGTGCAATATCTTGCTTGGCGGTGCCTCCTTTCTCAACTTCTTTCAAAATCTTGACTTTCGTGGCGGAGTCAAGCGTGCGATACGATCCACGAGTTGTCATTGTCGCGACTGCAGCCGAAATGCGGTGCGTGCAACCGCCGGCGGTACGAGCCAGCGCACTCTCGAACTAACTCGAGGAAAGACGCGGAAAGAGAGAAAAACGATGCCATTGTGCCAACGTGCGCCTTGCATCGGTCTTGACTGTTTATTCTTGCCGCTTCGTGAGCTGTGGTCGGCTGCGATGCCAACGATACCAGTGCAGTAGACAAAGCTGTTTTTGCACTTTAAAACTTGCAAATTGATCAAATATTACGGTTGCCTCGAGGCTTTCGATTGAAAATCAACTTCTAATTATCCAATATTTTAGACTTTTCGCTTCCGAATACCGAGCATTTTTTTTTCCAAAGGATTGCACCTTCACTTCACTTCTAATTAACCGACAGTTCCAATTAAGCGACTGAATTATCGGGAGTCGACTGCAGTAGTGTTGTGCGAATTTTCGAATAGTAGCTTTGAGTATTATTCTATTCGATATTCGCTTCGAGGGCAGTTGTAATATTTGTGCTTTTCGAAGCGTTGGCAAACTCACTGTCGCAAGCTTGTTTACTGTCTAGAAAATCACTAAGGAACAATTTCTAACATCAAAAGTATTCTCCCACGTTTGGCAAAACGGCATAAACATTATGGTGGAAACTTTTAAATGTACTCATCGTAGTCATTTCATCAACCTTTTTAGTAACGGGCAAAAGAACCGGAGCAACGAACTCCAGGGACGCCGGCGCCATCTGTGCCAATCTCGGCGCACTGGTTGCCAGCACTCTCTTCTCACCACCACCGCGTCCAGACGTAAAAGTTAGAAAAACAAGTTTATGACAAAAATGATTACCTTTAGATGTTTCTCATAACCTGCATAATCGCTTAGAAACTTTTGTTTGCGAGAAAACTCACAAACACCGTTTAAACTGATATTCCGAAAGAGTATCATATTATTAAACTAAAGTGTTGTTACGTTGACGACGTTATTCGTGGGCCTAGCAATAACGTTGTCATACGAGTGTGGGAGGCTCAAGCAGCTCTCAAAAGTTAGGATTATAATGCAATGAAATGCAAAGGTAAATGCTATTAAATGCGGGCTGGACAAGAATGAAATTAAATGCAATTAAATGCGGGCTAGACAAGAATGACTTGAATATTCCCTAGAGAAGGGGAACAAGGGGGACAAAGGACAAACACAAATCTCCAAACACAGACCAAGCGCGACCGAAGAAATCCGCCCCGTCCGGGGATCGAACCGGGGACCTCTCCATTTCCAGCCGAGCGCTCTGCCAACTGAGCTAACCAGGTGCGCCTTCACATTTATTTGCATTATCATCGTAACCTTAAAAAATGAAGACCGTTCATCCTTGTTGGTATTAGACACGTGGCAGCCGGTAACACCCGTTTGCTCTACCGGCGTTCGACTCCCGGTTAGCTCAGTTGGTAGAGCGCTCCACTAGAAACGGAGAGGTCCCCGGTTCGATATCCGGACCAGGCAGATTTTTGCAGTCGCGCACCGGTCACCTAGCTGTGTTTGCCCTTTGTTCGCCTTCTCCAGGGATTATTTTCGTCATTCTCGAAGGCCACATTTTGAGTCGAGAGCAAAAAACGTATGACCCTCCAAAGTAGCGCATTCTCGATTCTCGCGTGCACGTGCAGTCGGCTCGTGCACACAATTCCTTGCTCTTCGTAGGATTTGGGAAACATGATTTCTCGCTTTGTCACTCATGTCAGAGGGATGTGACATGTTAGAGGGATGTGATGTGTCAGAGTGATCTGACAGAAATCACTTATGTACAGAGTGATGTGACATGAAGCAATGTGAGGGAATGTGTAGTTCCATGGCCGCTAGATGGTGCTGTAAGGGAATGTCTAGTATGGTGCAGATGCACCTTTGCCAGCCTGGCGAGGAATGAGTGGCCGTGCTTGCAGGGCCTAGGCGAGGAGGAGGACGGGGCGGCGGTGAGCCTGATCCAGCAGATGATGGAGCAGGGGGCATTGGACGCGGGCCAGCCAGTGAGCCTAGTGGCCGTGGAGGACACCATCCTGGTGCGGGACGCCCAGGGGCTGGTCCTGGGGGGCCCCGGCCAGGCCTCGTACGTCATCCACTACGTCAGCGCGGGCGACGACGAGCTGGTGGAGCAGGAGGTCGAGGTGGCACCCTGAGGACCATTGGAAGATGGACCCACCCATTGGAAGATGGCGTCCTGAGGGACCCACCCATTGGAAGATGGCGTCCTGAGGGACCCACCCATTGGAAGATGGCGTCCTGAGGGACCCACCCATTGGAAGATGGTGCCCTGAGGGACCCACCCATTGGAAGATGGTGCCCTGAGAGACCCACCTATTGGAAGATGGCACCCTGAGAGACCCACCCATTGGAAGATCTGTCTGCTACTACTTTGTCACAGTGGAATAGACTGCACGCAGTATGTGGTAGCACACGCAATGACCGTTTCATTACGTAGACTCTACGCTGGCCCGTGTTTTTTGGGCGTGTGTCTTTGGTTTGCGCTGCCTGCTCTCGAGAGCGCGTCGACGAATAGCTCGAGACAGCCCCTAATTTAAGACTGCTTGTGCCGTAACGAATGATGCAAATGTGTGGTCGTTAGTTGATGGACACATTAGGAGCCATTATGCGGCATTGAGTTAGTTGCCCTGGTGTTGGGCTCCTCTCTAGTAAGACTGCTCCCGCAAGCGTCCTGCCAGACGATGCTGTACTGCACCTACCCCGAAATAAAATGTTTGCCATTTCCTTTTATGAACCATTTGTTTTGCAGCCTCTTGGTGGGGTTTCTATCCGACATTTCCCCTCGTGGTGTTTCTGTCTGAAGCTCCCCAAATAGGGTGCACATTTCATTTCATGTGCAATACTGTATGCACCTTTTCCAGAGTGGTTGCATTTGTGAATCTCATTAGAGAGGCTCAGCATGTTGAGCTTGGCAGCTGCTTGGGATGTTTGAGAGTCCCAGCCATAGGCACCCAGTATAAGGGAAGGCTCGAGCTGCCCTCCCCCCCCGTCCCCGTCCCCAGCCCTTCGGAAAAGCAAGTACCATTGTGTCTGCCGGAGGCGATGGTACTTGTTTTAACATTTAGAAAGACTCAATTCCAGGCGAAGAAACGTAGCAATAAAAAGTGAAACAAGCCTGCAGATGGCAGGAAATAAATACTAAAAGACTTAAAACAACATTCGAGAGAAATCTCTCGTTTGGAAACACTAATAATTAAATTGTGGCAACCAACCAAGTCCTAAACATGTAGGAGCCCTATGTTTCGAACCAACTTGGTTCTTCGTCAGGGGCGATTCTTCTTTTGGAAGAAGAAAGAAGAGGCATACCAAAAAACGCCACTCCTCAACGGCCAAAGTCGCCCCTGACAAAGAGCCAAGTTGGTTCAAAATGTAGGGCTCCTACATGTTTAGGACTTGACTGGTTGCCATATTTTAATACTAAAAGATTCCACGCAGGTCGTAACGATTGGGACGGCAATTGTTAAGGCGCTTAGTTCACTCTTGCCCTACAAAATGGACAGCGAAAAAGGAGCTCGGGCACCATACCATTGAGGTGTCGGAAGCAAAAAGAAAGCAGAAGCAAGAGGAAGGCACTGATGAAAAGAGAAAAGTGGTTCGCTCACTCGCACTAGTGACAGCAGCAAAATGCCCTTTTTGACGCTCGGAGACGTTTTAAACAACATACCTGGCGGCTTGTAAAAAAGAAAAAGCTCGTAAAAAAAAAAGGCCAAACAGAAAAGAACATCTATGTGTTGTCGGCGATGCTACTTTTGTACTAGGACGAAGATATATGCATAATGTTCGCCATCAAAACTAATGTGACAGCTAAATTAAGCACACTCTTATATTTATTCGGCTGCTCATGTATCTAGAGCTTGATTCTCATTACCACATTGCACTGCAAAATGACTTATTCGGAATAATTATTCTCTAAACGAAATTGCATTTGTAACCTGGTAAGTAGTCTTCTGCAAATAGTGGATTTTGAGATCAAAGCGAATTCGAAGCGAATAGTGGTTTTGCCTGAATATTTTCGATTCGAATGTCGAATAGTTTTTCCATGCCTTTCACTACCATTGCATAATACTACTTAGACGAAAACCCAGCTAAACTTGTGAAGGTTGTTCCACTTGTTTATTTATAAACAAAGTTTAATCTATCTATATTTATGAACTGTGACCTCGGAAGGTCTGGTGTCTTGGGGTGGCAAGTAAACGACGGATTTGACATAAAATGAATCCTGCAGAGATGGCTAACTATACACCCAAAGGAGTGAATTTACAAATCTTGCTATATAAAATATTATTTCTTTAATCTCGAGTTAAAAAAAGAATGAATCGTCCATGATGAACGCAGGTTGTAAGGCATCTCTTGCATAACAGTTTAATTTTGAAACTTTTACTACAATGTAGATAAACACATTCACAAACTTTTCATTTATTTTCGAATACAGTCGGCACAGGTGCACCCTCCCGCTTTGAATGTATGCTTTGCTTCCAAGCACGCAATTACGATATTCATACTTTTCCAAGTGTTTATCGCGGCAGGTTATCCCATTGAGTGCGCTTCTTACCAAGCACCGGTGCGCTGCGGGACAGCAACACACGCGGAGCTCGTTTCTGCGGGTATAGCTTCTCCGCAGCGCACTGGTGAGTGGTGAGATGTGCACTCAACGGGGCTAACCCGCCGCAATCAACACTTCCAAAAACGCGAATAGTGCAGTTCTTTTCAAAGCGAATATCAAATAGTGTATTATTTGGAAGTACTATTCGAAATTTCGAATATTCGCACAACCCTACTGGTAAGACAACTTTTAAGGGGGGGGGGGTTTGTAGGATCTACGGTCACAAGGAAGAAGAGGACGCAGGGATGCGCGAGAGGCACGCAAAAAAAATATAGATAGCACGAGAGTGAGCCAGTGTTCGGCCTTACCTACGGACGAACAACCTTCACGTTGATTTCCTTTTTTTTTTGTAAATATGTAAAATATAATATATTGTGGCGCTCGCGACTCCTCGCTTTCATAAGAACCCACAATTTGGTGACCCGGCATCTCGTACTCAAAAACACCGTCCTCATCCGTCAAGGGAAGTACCTCTTTAGCGTTCAAATCCTTGGAACCGCCCCATCACCCGACGCACATTCACGCAGTCAATCATGAGTCACTCAGAAGACAGCTCAGCAGCTGCCGCAGTTGCTTCAATAAATTTCAAACTGCCGGAATTCTGGTCGTCGGACTCGGAACTTTGGTTCTTGACCATCGAGTCCTCGTTCCGGAAGAATAAGATAACTTCACAACAATCCAAATTTGATCATGTCGTCTCGTCACTGCCCCAAACAGTGGCGGCGGTTGTCCGGGATATCCTGCGTGCACCCCCTCAAGATATGCCATACGACATGCTCAAGGCCGAGCTTATACGGCGTACGACGGAGTCCGAACAACGGCGACTTCAACAGCTTCTGACATCAGAGGAGCTTGGAGACAGGAAACCATCGGAGCTTCTTCGTCGTATGGAACAACTACTGGGTGACAAGGCAAATACCTTGGACGCAAGCATACTCCGAGAACTATTTCTCCAGAGACTGCCCACTCAAGTCCGCATGATTCTCTCCACCTCAGCAACAGACTCCGTCGAAACTCTAGCTCGAATGGCGGACCAAATCATGGACGTTAACACGCCCAGCGTTTGCCAACTAACTCGTCCAAACCCCTCACACCGAACATCTCTGTTGGATGAGACTCTTCCCCAGCTGCTGGAGTCTAACAAAGTACTGACATCGACTGTCGCACACCTCTCAGAAGACCTCAAGCAGCTGCGCCTGGACACTCGTCGTCCGACAACGCGTCAATTCTGCGACAGCCCACCACGACATCGTCGATCTAGGTCTGCAAACAGCAGCGGTACATGCTGGTACCACCGCACCTTTGGCAACCGTGCTAGAAGATGTGAGTCACCTTGCACGTTCCAGGAAAACAGGCAGGCCCGGCGCTGACGGCGGCCGGCGTTGCGGGCCACAGAACAAGCCGTCTATTCTTCGTGACTGACCGCACCACTAAGCAACAGTACCTCGTTGATACTGGTGCGGAAGTCAGCGTGATTCCACCAACAAAACAGGACCGACGGTGCCCCACAGAAACATCCCCCTTGCGAGCTGTCAACGGCTCCGCCATCAAGACCTATGGACAACGGTCGCTCACTCTCGACCTAGGTCTGAGGAGGACGTTTCGTTGGGTGTTTTATGTGGCTGATGTTCAGCAATCCATCCTGGGAGCAGATTTTTTACGCAATTTTGGCCTCCTTGTCGATCTGAGGAGAAACATACTCCTGGACGCGGGAACGCATCTCTACGTTCACGGAATCGCGTCCAAGACCGAGTCCCTCAACCTCACCATATCAACACCCATACTTGAGGCTCCATGGAACTCCCTTCTAGACAAATTTCCTCAGCTGCTGCGGTCATCCGACGCGAAAGAGCCAGCTAAACACACCATCACGCACCATATTGAAACAACTGGTCCCCCCGTATTTGCGAAACCTCGACGCCTCGCTCCTGATCGCCTCAAAATCGCCCGACAGGAGTTCGATCACATGATCGAACTAGGCATTGTACGTCCCTCAACAAGTGCTTGGTCATCGGCACTACACATGGTGCCAAAGAAATCTGGAGATTGGCGACCCTGCGGGGACTACCGGGCTCTCAACAATGTGACAGTCCCAGACCGCTATCCCATTCCACATCTTCAAGATTTCGGAGGTGCGTTGCACGGATCTAAAATTTTCACGAAAATCGATCTCGTAAAAGCGTACCATCAAATTCCCGTCGAACCTTGCGACATACCAAAAACAGCAATTGTAACACCTTTCGGCATGTACGAATACACCAGAATGCCTTTCGGCCTAAGAAACGCAGCGCAAACGTTTCAAAGGTTCATGGACCAGATACTTCGCGGACTACCCTTTTGTTTTGCGTATTTAGATGATATCCTGGTTTTCAGCACGGACCGTAAACAACACTTTCATCACCTCCACCAACTCTTCGCTCGCCTCAGCGAGTACGGAGTTGTCATCAACCCCGCTAAATGCGAGTTTGGCGTCTCAGAGCTCTCGTTTTTGGGGCACCAGGTCAATCACCTCGGTATATGCCCATTGCCGCAACGGATCGAAGCGATCAAGAAATTTCCGCAGCCTCCCACTACTACCAAGCTCAGAGAATTCCTGGGGCTTGTGAATTTCTATCGTCGCTTTATTCCTGCTTGCGCAGCCATACTCCAGCCGATCAACCAGCTTCTTGCAGGTTCGAAGCGCAAGAACGAGCAACTTACGTGGACAGAATCAGCTACTGAGGCATTCACAACCATCAAACAGGCTCTTTCCAAAGCAACCCTTTTGACTCGCCCCCGATGCGACGCCCCTACATCCATTATGGTTGACGCATCCGACACCGCAGCAGGCGCAGTTCTACAACAGCTCAAAGACAGTCAGTGGCATCCCGTCTCATTCTTCTCAAAAACATTTTCACCAGCCGAAACAAGATACAGTACTTTCGGAAGAGAACTGCTTGGGGTATACCTTGCCGTGAAATACTTCCGCCATTTTTTAGAAGGTAGACAGTTTTGCATATGGACCGACCACAAACCTCTTACATACGCATTTCAATCCAACAACTCTAACCATACGCCGCGGGAGATCCGTCATATGTCCTTTGTTTCCGAATTTACTACCGACATAAGGTTCGTTTCAGGCAAGGACAACCCCGTCGCCGATGCATTATCACGATTAAACATTAATGATATCTCTTCATCCCGACCAATAATCGATTTTGCGATTATCGCTCAAGCTCAACAAACGGACAAGGAGTTAAGTGAGCTCCGCTCATCACAAACGTCTCTTATACTACAAGAAGTCAACATTAACGGCAGCACTACAACGATAGTTTGCGACACATCTACAGGCACACCTCGACCGTACATTCCACCTCATTTCCGGCGCACAGTGTTTGATGCGCTGCACACACTATCCCACCCTGGCATACGTGCTACCCAGCGTTTGGTCACCGCGCGCTTTGTGTGGCCACGAATCAACGCAGACGTGAGGCGGTGGTCACAATCCTGCCTTCAGTGTCAAAAGGTAAAAGTTCATCGACACACCACCTCGCCTCACAATGTTTTTCCCCAACCTGACGCTCGCTTCAGCCATGTCCATATGGACATTGTGGGACCTTTACCATCATCGCAAGGCTTTCGATATATGCTCACATGCGTAGACCGTTTTACAAGATGGCCTGAAGCAATTCCCATCACACCCATAACAGCTGAAAATGTCGCCCACGCCTTCATTACCACATGGGTCAGTCGTTTTGGTATACCAGCTGCCATCACAACTGACCGTGGCCGACAATTTGAATCCTCTCTTTTCCGCCATCTTTCCCAGCTGTTGGGGGTCCACCACATTCACACAACAGCGTACCATCCGCAAGCCAACGGTATGGTTGAGAGACTGCACCGCCAACTGAAAGCAGCTCTCATCGCACAAGCCACGCATTCATCACGTTGGACTGAAGTTTTGCCCTTAGTACTCCTCGGCATTCGCTCTGCATTCAAAAAGGACCTGAACTGCACTACCGCTGAGCTCGTTTATGGCACGACCTTACGTTTGCCTGGTGAATTGATTGCACCTGCAACAGAGCCTGCAATTCCTGACATACAGGATTTTGCAAGCCGCCTACGACAGCACATGGCACAGCTACGACCCTGCCCCCCAAGAGCCACACAACCTTCTTCAATATTCACGAGTCCAGCATTGTCAAAATCTTCCCACGTCTTCATTCGGAACGATGCAGTAAAGCGATCACTTCAACCTCCATACAACGGACCATACGAAGTTCTACGCAGAGACGCCAAGCACATGACTCTGCTTATCAATGGTCGCACAGACACAGTGTCTATCGACCGACTGAAGCCTGCATTCCAGGAATGTCCGCAACCTTCCTCAAGCGTGGATCTCCTCACTGTGCCCCCAAGGAGTAACAGACTTCCAAAGAAAGTTCGTTTTCAAGAAACAGCGTAAAACTCAACGCTCGTCAAGCCGCTTCCTCTCTAGGGGGGGAGTATTTGTAGGATTTACGGTCACAAGGAAGAAGAGGACGCAGGGATGTGCGAGAGGCACGCAAAAAAAATATAGATGGCACGAGAGTGAGCCAGTGTTCGGCCTTACCTACGGACGAACAACCTTCACGTTGATTTCCTTTTTTTTTTGTAAATATGTAAAATATAATGTATTGTGGCGCTCGCGACTCCTCGCTTTCATAAGAACCCACAGGTTTATTGCCGCCCGCCCCCCCCCCCCCACCTTCGAATCTTCTAGTCATATGCATTAGTCTTTGACGCTGTGCCCCACATTCCGGTGCTCTGCTACCAAAAAGATTGCAGCGATGGAAGCGGCATTGGACCTTTTTTGTAGCGGGCAAAATGTTGGCTTGAGGCAGCCAATGACGTTTTTGGAGAAAAGGCCAACGTATAGCTTGTCGCTTCGATGCAAACAAAAAATGGTTGCTTCGCTACATAAATTCATCTTCGATAATGATTTAATACTGAAGCATATTGCCTATCATCTTTTGTAATAAGAATACATGGAACGCAAAGGGTTCCGTTTCCAATGACTATTAAGAAAAATGGTCAAAAAATGAAGCATGTCACACAATACTTCAGTCTTTAGTTTACTTTGTGTGTGAAATATTCCTGTAAAATGACAGAAAATGACCAGCATATCCGGCAAGACATATGTAAAAAAAAACATGTCCCCCAAGTTTTACGAACTGGCCAAAACTTTTATTCTTTATTCAGAGATTACCCCACAGTGCTCAAGGGCATTGGTGCCGAAGAAAAAAACAAATTTCACATTTTCACTGCACACTTGCAGCTCCGACATTTCAATGTTGTATCGTTTTAATAAAAATTTGGCACGTGTTTGTCTTGGCGTGGTGCTCTCCAATTTCAAAAGCATGATTGTTCTGTTTAGAAATATAATATGGTTCTTTTAAACGAGTTTCACCGTGAATTCCAGTTTTCTTTATTTTAAATATCGAAGACTGGAACTTTAAACGCAATTTTTTACTGCGGGCTGAGAGAGGTTCGCAATTCGGTCCATTCTTCATTTGAGTACAGCTGTCTGTTTGAGTACAGGCCATAAACAGTTGAGTACAGCCTGTACCTTCTCTTTGCATCTTCATTTGAGTACGGCCGTCTCTCCGTCCGTACCACTTCTTTGCAAATTTCTACGCAACTTATAGATGATTTCTAGACGACTTGCAAATTTCTATGCGACTTCTATGCCCAGACATTGTCCGTATATTAAGACGATGACAAGGCCAGTGCAGTTGACGAGCAATCGCTACGCATCGTTCGACGCTACGAGCGAGTGGGACCGACAAAACAGTGTCAAAAGAGTGACATCCTGGCATTTGTCATCTTTGTATACGTGTTCTTTGATTGGCTAAACTAATTGAGCACAGCGAATGCCCAGCGAGTGTTTTCGTGGTTGTGTCTGTTGGAGCCTTCCACTGCCTCGACTCGAGATGGAACAAACTCTACGGTAAGTAGAGACGCTGTCGAATGCATATTGGGGCCATTTTTTTTTCTCTCTAATTTTCTAAATATTAGAGTTGACCAGCAATAAAATATTCATTTAACAATTCCTGCAAAAAAAGTTGATTTTTAAAATTGTCATATTTACATCCACCATCTAGAGAGTAATTCCAAAAAGTTGCATCAGTCTACACTGCATAGTTAATTTTTTATAAATTATTTTCGGTCCACCGATGCCAAAAAAAAAAAGGTAGGGGTTGGAACACTGAACGCATTTTCTTCCATGCCACTTTTTTCGCATGAATTTCGCTTCAGGAAATTTTGTTATTACGTAGCTTGGATTCGTTTTTATGGGTTTTCCTGGGGTGAAATTTTAAGAGGAAGATAGCTATGAGATTAATTTTTTTTTTTTGTGTAATTTTTGATGCTAAAGAACTAACATTTTGGACAAAGGATGGGAATTTAAAAAACAGTATTTGTGTTTTTTTTGTCATGAAACTACATGTCATAATGTAGAAATATGGCTCCATAGCTATCTGCTCTGAACTGTCCTAAAGCAATATAACCCATGAAAACGACAAATTTATGAGTAATTTCAAAACAACAGTTTTCCTACGCAAACACGCCCACTTTCTTCTTGGAACATTTCCAATTTTTTTTGTAACTTCACCCAGGCTCACACAATTTGGCAGAAAAGTTCTCAACATCAACAAAAATGAGCCATGTAAAATTCGTTTAAATTAGACAAGTGGTTGAAACTTTCACGTTTTAAGTGGCCCAAACTTTCACGTGTAAAAGGGCAACTCCAGTGAAATTTCAATGTTGAGAAAACAATGCACTATTACATTGTATCTGAAAAGCCTACACTTAAAATTTGACGACGCGATCGCGCCTAAAAGTTGATTAAACCAGCCAACGAAGTCTGAGCGGCTTCACGGCTACCAAAATCCACCCAATCTAGCAGACGACGCACGCTGCAGTTCGGAAAATGAATGACATAGAAGCGTTTATTAGTAGTTTCGACGCTACGATCGCCCGTGATCCTAGAATCTTTGGAATTGATCCGAGTTGCCCTTTAGGCGTATCGCAATTCTTAGTCAAAATGGCACTTTGGCGCTCTACGTAGCACTCTTTGGTGCCTGGCACAAATGGTGCAGCACGTGACGAGAGAGGATCGGTAGACGCGTCTGCAACTTTATTTCTCGAGCAACAAAAGCAGGGGTCAAGTGTTTCGAAGCCCGCGTATCTACAACTTGCAGAGGAAAAACCGTGTGGGCAGGCGATCGTCCTGACTGGTGCTACTCCTCGTACTTCTTCGGATTAAAGACAATCTTGCGCGTCTTCAAGGTGGTCCACTTGAAGCGCTTCCAGTACCAGCTCACACCGATCAGCAGTATGAACATCATGGTGGACTGTAAGGGAACAGAAACACTGGGTCACGCCGGTACTATGGTTAACTCTAGTGACGGGTCGTCTGCATACCTTCTAGCACGATTAATTTTAACTAATCTGGCGTTACAGACGCATTACCCGCGTTTTAGCAGCTTTTTTTTTTTAGTTTATTAATTTTGGACAAGCCCCAGACCACCATTGTTTCTGACGTGTCTTGGGGCAATGCTTTGTCGAGCGTTTTCGCAGTTGGCCTGCCTCTGTTACGACGAGGCGAAAAGAAATTAGCGATTCCAAGATACAATGTTACAAAAGCGTTTGATGGCATCGATTTACCTACCTCCACCTGTGCAGGAAAGTGCTGCATGGTAGTATGCATTTTAAGGCAAACTTTTGAGATCAACAAAAACTTGTTTAGTTTTACGAGGATCCTGATAAAATAATGCCTACTGTCAAGACCGGTTATAACGAAACAGCCGCTACAGCGAAGTGATCACGATTTCCCATTCCCTTTTGCACCTCAATAAGCGAACCCGGTTATAACGAAATAGCGGCTACAGCGAAGAGATCACGACTTCCCATTCCCTTTTGCACCTCAATAAGCGAACCCGGTTATAACGAAATAGCGGCTACAGCGAAAAGATCACGACTTCCCATTCCCTTTTGCACTTCGTTAACCGAACCCGGTTATAACGAAACAGCGGGTATAGCGAAGGGATTTCGGACTCCCGTTGACTCCGTTATAACCAGTCTCGACAGTATATTGTCAAAATAGCACAATCGCATTTCAGTTACTCTCATTAACAACACTTCTCTGCTTTGAACCTAGTGGAGGGCAGGCAGAGTTACGGAAACTACGACAGAAGCCTCGTTAGACTTGGGGCAAGAATCCCAATTGGATGCTACGCAACGTCACGTTCTGGCACGTTTCAATCTCTTGCATCATTTTCAGTTTGCATTCTTCGTAACTTAAAGAGCTAATAACTCGGAAAACTAAAGACATCACGAAGTGGAGTGTAATAAAACAAAAAGTACCAGCTCCGAGTAATATTTCACTTCCTGAGCTGGTGCAGGTTGTTTTATAGCACTTGGATGTATAGTCACCAGCAAAAACTAGCGCAATATCCCGACGATAGGCTGCCTAAAATTGAAAGCAAATGTTATTTTGGTGAGCAATAAACAAAAGTAAAAAAAATGTGCTAGTTTTAGATATTGTGACCTGAAAAACTTGTGATCGGAGTGACTAAAGATGGCTGTCCTTTCCTTATCATGCATGGTTAAGGAACACCATTTCTGCCCATGTCGCACCATTGGGGCCATGGCCCTGCAATTGCTAGAGGTGGGCCATCTTTTGGTGTCTTTGGAAAAATTGCAAATCATGCCAAAAATAGGGTTGGGGCATCTCTCAGGCTGTTACGGTAATTCCAAATTACAAAGGAAATGGGCCCAGATGTGAAATATTCAACTTTGTTAAAAACAACTGTTTTGACATTTTCTTATTTAAAACAATAAAAAACTCTCAATCTCCATAAGGGCTAAATGGTTCAAATTGTCAAATTTGATCGCTATGCCAACGCTTCACAGTGCAAATGCAATTCTCAACAAACATATAAAAGCTGCCAGTGTTGTCCATCAGTACACGATGCAAAGAGTGAAATGGGGGCAAAACATGTTTGTACACATTCTGCACCATATATCATAGGCACCGACTACAAGGGGGGGGCTTTGCTTGGAGAGCTTCTACCGGACTCCGGGGATGGGGGGAGGCTCTGCTTGGAAAGCCCCCGCCTCGCCCCCCCCGCCCCGCCCCGCCCCGCCCCCCCGGAAAACTGGGGGCACAGCAAAGTTTACAGCAGGTGCAAAGCTAGCAGTGGCGAAAGGTGGACGATTAGATTATCATAGCGTTCCGCCAATGCTAGCTTTGCGCCCGCTGCACGAGCGATAATTCTGGTGAGCGTCCGAGTTCCCCACAAGCTTCGGGTCGTTCCAAAAAGAGTCGATTTAGTGGTTTTCAACGCCGCTTTCCAAGTTTCTAATTGCAACCACGTGTCTATTTCCACTAATTAAAAAGTTAATTAACGAAATTAAATAATTGGCAAACATCAGCCACCCACATAATGTCCCCCTGGCCATATAACTCGCCTGCCCGGACTGTATAAGTGCATCTTTTACAGATTTTTTGTACTAAATCTGTTCGAATTAAAACTGAGCACCAGGTGTGTGTGTATATTATAGATATATATATATATAATTGGAGTGAGAAAAGATTATTCATTCACTACATATATGACTAGACATAGTAGATCCAAATGTCTTTTGTAACCAGATCCACAGTATAAATAAAATATGAATCGCTGCACACTCTCGTCACACCATGGCACCCTGTCGGCTGAATGCTGAGACAGCATTTGTGTTCAGCATGCGGTTACAATATTTTAAAAAAACATTTTCTCTTCGAAACCACCACCATGAGGGTGATGCATTTGTCTCTTGCAAGTACCGATGCCCAAAAGCAAAAGTTGCCAATGGGTACCAGTACTTCTGTATGATTCCGATCGAGTTGAGCCTTTTCCATGTCAATGTAAAAAACTTCCAGCCTTTCAGGACCTCTAGGACGACCTCAAGGATGTCTTCTAAGATGACCACGAGGACGACGCCCAGAGAAATTCAGCCCTTCCACTCTGGTCAAAACCAGAGTGGAAAGGCCTGGAAAGGTTGCCGCCATCTACGAGCGACGCCGGACATCTTGTTGCTGCCGTCCAGAGTTTCGCGTCGACATTTATTTGGTGACGGACACAATACTGGGAAAACTAGCCTTTAACAGCTCCGCCTTAAAATAAATAAAGTGTGACTGGGTTCACCTTGATAAACATGCGCTTGCGCTCGTCGTGCTCAGGCTCGGTGCAGTACTTGAGGAAGGTGCAGACATCCTTGGCCATCTGGCTGGCCGTGGCGGGCGTGCCGTCAGAGTACTCCATGGCCTCGTTGTACAGGGCCTGGGCCATGCCGATGGCTCCACCCGGGAAGTAGGGGTTGTAGTACTGGCCCTCCTGGACCTTGACTCCGGCCGGAGGGTCGCAGTAGCCCATGAGCAGGGCAAACAGGTAGTCCTGCAGAAGGCCACCAGTTGGACCATTTGCCCCAAGGCCCCAGGCGACCATCAGCCCACTTCCAGCTGGATTATGGAACTGGTCCCAGCTGGAAATGCTGGGACCAGCTGGAATCCAGCTGGACTGCCTCATTTCCAGCTGGGACCAGTTCCATACTCCAGAGGGAAGTGGGGGGAGGGGGAGCGTACCTCGCCGCCGTGCCTGGCGTTGGTGATGAAGCTCAGGTCGGGGGGCAGGGACCCGTTGTTGGCGGCACGCGCCGCCTCGTCATTGGGGTAGGGTCGCGGGAAGTAGTCCGAGAGCTTACCCGGGCGCTCGAACATCAGTCCCTCCTCGTTGGGGCCGTCCAGGATCTGGACCTGCAAAGGGCGGCCGCACTCGCTTCCAAAACTGGCCTCTCAAGAACACCGTCCACAGCTAGTGCTGCCACATTCTAACCCCATTGTGAAAGTCTGGCTTGTGTACACCGTCCCCAGCCACATTTTAACACTTGTGCTGTCCATTGTGTATGGCTGGTGTTTTGTGCACTCTCCCTTCCAAGAACACCTCCCATCCCCAGCCAGTATTGCCACATTTTTACCCCATTGTGAAAGTCCGGCTCATGTTTTGTGCACTCCCGGCAGATGGCAGCACTGCCACCGCCTCCAGGTTATTTTCTGCTTTAATTCCAAATTTTCACCGAGAGAGACTGTCCTGGAAGAAAAAAAAATTCCTACTTGCTGAATTTGTCCGAGTGACCTAGTAAACAGATGTGGTAATGGCAAAATCATTGAAAAATTTAATGACGTCAGTACCTGAACAAGCGTGTTTTGGTGTCTGGTTTCACGAAGAGCTCCCGCGAAATACGCATATTAATTATCTAAAAGCACAGCTATCCAAAGCTTTTGGATACACGTACAGAATAACAAATCCAATATTGCTCTGGCTAAAGAAGCGTCATTCATTGTTCTAAACCCACCTTACATACGGCACTTTGGTTCGGGGCACCAGGACAATCGCAGATTATCCCCAGCTTTCAGTTGTGCAAAATAAAGTCCTATAATTACATCATTCGTGACATGCTAATGACAAATCAGACGTATTACCTTGATCCGGTGCAATTCTTGCAAAACAAATTAAGCCCCACGCAAAATTTCGAAAGGCCGAAGCCTAAAATAAGAACCAATGACGGTAAACAAAAACTCGACTACCAAATAACTACTCCTCTTAATATTTTGGAATGGGAATGAAACCATCTGAAACCCTTTTCACACATACAAAATAGATATTAAAAATAATGTTAACGAGGAAATTTTGATGACTAATTTAATTTCATAGGATGCCCTTGCACACAGTTTATTTACTTAGTTATTGCACATATTTGGACATAAGGTGACAATGTTTTCATTTCCTCCCGCAAGAATGCGTAAGATCGGTTACCACTTGATTCTCTTTTTTCCCCATGTGCTTCAGATTACAGTTAAAAAAAAAAATCCTGATGTTCATTATACCCGTTTAAAATCTGATTCGTGCAAAGTACCCCATGGATTGTAGTGTTTCTATATTGCCTATATATATCTATATTCTATATATATAGAAACTTCAGTGAATATGAAACAAAACGCCGGCTTACGGACCCCAAGTTTTGTTCAACTCTTGTGCAAACTACAGATTTTAAATATAATTTTTTTAATACATTTAATTAAAAAATTAATAGTATCGCATGGGTACAGTGGTGTCTTTCGAGGCTAAGATGTGTACCTGGAGTAGCTACATCTGGGGGATACACTGTTTCAGGTGCACAGGTTATGCAAATCTTTACTACACACAAACTGTCAAGTGGTACAACTGAAGCGCTACGGCTACTTTGGTTTCCACACATAGAACATATACTTCCGAGCAAACTTGCGGCACACTGCATTGTTGGAGCACCACGCAGTCTCATCATTCCACTGCAAATACTATTTGAAGATTCGTGCAGTGGCGTGTCCCAATAAAAAAAAAGTGATTCGAAATTTGCCTTTTTATTTCTCTGCAACGACTTGTTAACGTCTACAGCAAAGCGTATAATTAAATTTCAAATGTAATTTAGTTGTGCATCCTGCATGTGGAGATATGTAATGATGAAAAGAGCATGCGAAAAATAAATATTCCCACGCGAAAGTCGAGGTTCGATGTCCGGCTGCGGATATGCCTTTTGGTTCTTTCCGTAATGTCGCGTTCTGGTAAATTCGAGAGCCCGTTGCATATTCGAGATTGGAACGCTCTACGTGCACAACCTTCTACGCCGATCGTTCCGGAAGCCCACGCGTCTTGTGCCAATCCGGGATCAATCTTGCCCCGGCGGTCGATCCTGCTGTTTCGCCGACAACGACGCCTGCAACTTATCAGAATGTTGCAGTCTCGTAGAAACTAAATGTAACTTTATTGAACAAGTTTTACTGCCACATTTATGTTGTCGATTAGCACTCGCTAACTTTTATTTTATTTTTTTTAAGACACAACACGGTCGTGTATCTTTCCATCCTGGAAGGGCATTTACTCCTCAACACAAGGCTGCGTTGCGGCGGAGCCAAATACGCGAAATCGGGAGCATTACTCCGCGGGCGCAGCTTCTTTGCAGCGTTTTTGGTCACTTGTGCCTTGGATAGGCGATATAAAAAATACAAATTGCCCATTCTTTCAGCACTAAAATCGTTGCACTACCCCCTCAAACCGCTCGAACAAGCGACAAGTAATGATAAATAACCCAAAACTTCCGAGTACTATGTCGTGATTGGCGAGATGTGAAATCACAGGTCATTCAGAGCGATGCACAAAAGTGTTGAAACTTTGTGCAAGCTTGCCGTAGCAATCTGGCGCTGTAGCAACGACTGACCTATTGGTTCTTGTTCTGATGAAATGAAATGAGCTTTTGGAGTAAATTTGGTAAAATGTAGCACGATGCAGCAGGGTTCACATCAGCATTCACATCACCGATCCTCAGATACAACATCAGTGGGAGAGGAGCCACCTCCCTTCCACTAAGTCTTTTCTCCTCCCCCCCCCCCCCCCCTCCGACTATACTTGCGAGCGCCCACACGGCCGACATTCAAAAAAAGAGCAGATGCAATCAAGCTGCCCAGCTGCTCGTCAATTCCCAAGCCATATTCTCCTGCCACTTTGTGTTCTTTCGAAAGATGGTTCTGTTGGTAGCAGAACATCTGTGCCCCGCCATTCCGAGGTGACCGAAATGCACTGGAACATAATACAGTATAGACCACTTACAACGTAACCGCTTATAGTGCAGGACCGGGTATAATGCGGCTTTTTAAAACCACCGGTTCGCCTCCCATAGAACTCCATGTAATTACATACCGCTTAAAATGCAGGCGCGCGGAGGGAAATACCGGTTATAGTGCGGTTTCTCGAACAGCCCGCCGACCGCGCCGACACTAGATAACGGCGCTAGCCGCGAGCGGCACTCGCGGGGCAAGGAGGTTGCTCGAAAAAGCGGGGAGAAGCGAAGAGGAAGGCTTCAGTTGCCATAGCGAGGGAGGGACGCATGCACGTGTCGTTCACGTGCGTGCGTGCGTGCGTCCCTCCGCTGTGTTGGAAACAACCGCAACGACAGACCAATCGCAGGTCGAGGAGAAGTGTTCGCGCGCGTTGCATGCCGGTCGCGGGCCAGCTGCTTCTATCCGCGAACATGGCGTCGGTTGTGATCGTCGTCGTAGACGGCATGGTGGAACATCATCGTTCCGCATAAAAGCGCTATCCTTGACTGTGAATTTTTGTTGTGTGTCGCTATGATAACCCAGCACGTACTAGAAGGGAAGATCCACCTACTCGTGCGGCGATCTTGTGGCGGCACTCTCAAGACGGCAGAAACGCCCGTGTCGTCGTGTTTACTTCGACTACAGTGGTGCTTTCTAAGCATTTGTGTTTTCGAACATCGCCCGGATTTCTTATTTGGAGCATTTCATGCCTGTGCTCAAGTTGAAGGTATTACTGGCGTGTACCGTATAAAGGATGCGAATTTTCACGCGTTTTCATCGCCGGAGAAAAGTGATTAGGGTTAGCATTCCCGAACGCTCGCAACGTCCGTCCGCAGCCCGCGACGCCGTTAAAAGGCTGCGCCAGGCAAAACTTGCTTATTTCTTTCAAAATGTGTGACACACTTGAGAGAGAAGTGTCCTAGTCTGATGAAATAGACTTTCCTCAAATTAAGCTTTATTTTTCATCTAACATAAAAAATAAATTGTTTTACAAAGGTAAGTTGTCTGATGGCATGTATTTTGGCCTGAAAAATTGATGTTTTGGTTATAGCGCGGTACCGCTTATAGTGCGGATTTTCGCGACTCCCGCGGCATACGTTATATGCGGTCTACACTGTACTCTCGAAATTTGGGCTAGTTGGTGAAGTATGTTTACGAGTAAAACAGCGCAAACGAGGACACAGGACAGAGAAGACGCACTCAGGCGGAGCGCTGACTGTCAACTGTTTATTTTGAAAGAAACGCCCACGGCGTGGTCACACCAAACAAAAATTACATCACGAGACATGACTGTCACAAGTTGAAGCCCCTCAAATTGCCAACTCACAATCATAAAGATCTATCGAAGCTGACAGAGTTGTCTTTGAACTTGGAAATGTAAAAGGCCTCAGTTATCTCCCTAGTTTGTTGCTGGCTGCGTCGTCCCAGGACCGTGGTATCTTCCAAAACTGGAGAGCAACCACATCTGTCGCAGTGAACCGCCACATTCCCTGACGGAGATGCCCTAATCGATCACGTTTGTTCACGTAATCTATCATTAATGCAGCGACTGGTCTGGCCGATGTAAACTTTTTTACAAGTCAGGGGAATACTGTAGACCCCCCCCATGCAAGGGACAAATTTGTTTTTATGCTGCCTAACACATGCGGCCATGGCAACCGATCCCCTCTCCACCCTCGCACATAAACGTCCCAGCTTGGCCGGTGCTGAGAAAACGGCAGGAACATTTTGGCGTTGTGCTACTTTCTTTAACCTATGCGCCGCCTTATGGATATTCCCCTGACGTGTAAAAACGTTTACATCGGCCAGACCGGTCGTTGTGTTAATGATAGGTCACGTGTTCGATTAGGGCATCTCCGTCAGGGAATCTGGCGGTTCACTGCGACAAATGTAGTTTCTCTCCGGTTTTGGAAGATACCACGGTCCTGGCAAGACACAGTCACCAACGAACTAGGGAGATAACTGAGGCCTTTTACATTTCCAAATTCAAAGACAACTGTGTCAGCGCGCCTTCGGCAGATCTTTATGATTGTGAGTTGGCATTTTTGAGGGGCTTCAACTTGTGACGATCATGTGACAGTCATGTGTTATGATGTAATTTTTGTTTGGTGTGACCACACCGTCGGGCGTTTCCTTAAAAATAAACAGTTGACAGTCAGCGCTCCGTCCGTGTGCACCTTCTCTGTCCTCTGTCTTGTTTGCGCTGTTTTACCCATAAACATGCACTGGAAGACGTCTGGTCGACTCCACGGTCGTGGGAGGTGCGCTTACCGACTCGGCTTCGGCCTTGGCTTCGGCTTCGGTGTGGGACACGCCCACCAGGTTGCGGTAGGCAATGTACTTGAGGCTGTGGCACGCCGCACACACCTGCTTGTAGACCTCGTAGCCCCTCCGGATGCTGCGCACATTGCACAAACATACGCTCACACGGACGCTCGCACAAATGCACGGCAGTGGGCACAACTCCTGTTTAAAAAAAACTAAAAACTAACTAAAACAAACAAGTGCCAGATTCAGGATATGGGTATTGCACAAACGTACGCTCCCACGGATGTTCCCTGCACAAGTGCAGGCAGTGGGTGCAACTCCCCTTTCAAAAAAACTAAAACAAACAACTTTACTCTGAGCAAGTGCCAGATTTAGGTTATGGTTATGAATGTGTAACATACCCTTTGGGGGGTACACATCATGCCTTACAAAAAAAAAAACCTTTTGGATTATTTAATGAGAGTTTAATCTATTGACCCATTATGGTACAACCATGGGTCATCTTACTTTTATCACCCATTATACTCTGTAGTACAATAACAAGATAATAATAAGAATAATAATAAGACAATAATAATAATAATGTCTTATTCTAGATGGTGAGTGAGAGCTTGCTTGAGGGTCAGTGACAAAATGGAAACCAAGTGCAGTTATATGATGTACACAGGCAGTGATGTTATAATAAAAATAATATTGATTTAATGAGCCCCAAAACAAACAAAATAGTCTATAGACTAGTGTACCTCGCCAAAGAACACTTCAAATAAACAAAATATATTAACGATCACACTCAACACGCAAGATACCAAACCAAAATGAAAATAAAAGTAAAAAGCAAATTACTTCCAGGGGGGACACTATCCCTCAAAAAAAAAAAAAATCCGAAAAAAAAAAAAAAAGAAAGTTGGTTTTAAAAAAAATGTTATATTTATATCCATCAACATCTAAGGGAGTATACCCAGAAAATTCAATTAATTTACACTCCACAGTTAATTTTTTATAAATTATTTTCGGTCCACTGGCACTAAAGAAAAGATAGGGGTTGGAGACTTAAGTAGAAATTTCTATTTGCTCCGTTCCACTTTTTGGCATAAATTTCACTTTAGGAAAACTATTGTTTGTTAATGACACAAGAGGAAAGACTTTTGTTTTTCCTAACTGGAATTTCATGGCCAATGCAACTGTGGAATTGCTTTTTTTTACTTTGTGGACGTCTTTTAGAAAAGACGTCAAGATTTTGTCGACGACACAAAAGGTAAAACATTTATTAGATTTTTCACTGCAACGTTAGCATAAAAGAAATAACTTTTTTTTAAAATTTTGTTTCAGAGTTGCACTTTCTAGGCATAAAGGCCCGTTCACACTCTTGCGACCGAGCAAGACCGAGAAAGACCAGACCGGTTTTTAAGCCTCTTGCGATTTCTTAGGACCAGCTCCGCTGCAGCGCAACCGGTGCTAAAAAGTCGCAAAAGGCTTAAAAACCGGTCTGGTCTTACTCGGTCGCAAGAGTGTGAACGGCGCTTTATGCTGCACATCTAGCGAAGAAAAAACGTTTGGTATCGTATTAGGTTTGAAACAACAGTTTTCCTAAACAAAGTGATTCAAGGAGGTGGGTAGACCTCAAGGCAGCTTGCTTTGACGTCTACCCACTATCAGAGCCAATCAGAGCTCGGAATTCTGACGGCACAACCATTCATGCAAAATGAAGCAGACGAACACTCGCTCTGCATAGGGTACGGCAAGTCGTCTGCTTCTTTTGTAGTGGTTACGGTGACATCAGATTGCCGAGCTCCGATTCATGGATTGTGGGCAGACCTCAAGGCAGCTTGCTTTGAGGTCTACCCACTATCAGAGCCAATCAGAGCTCAGCATTCTGACATCACAACAACCCATGCAACAGAAGCAGACGAACACAACCCATGCAAAATGAAGCAGACGAACACTCGCTCTGCATAGGGTACGGCAAGTCGTCTGCTTCTTTTGTAGTGGTTACGGTGACATCAGATTGCCGAGCTCCGATTCATGGATTGTGGGCAGACCTCAAGGCAGCTTGCTTTGAGGTCTACCCACTATCAGAGCCAATCAGAGCTCAGCATTCTGACATCACAACAACCCATGCAACAGAAGCAGACGAACACAACCCATGCAAAAGAAGCAGACGAACGCAACCTATGGAAAAGAAGCAGACGGCAACCACCCATGCAAAAGAAGCAGACGAACTTGTGCACTGCATAGGGTACGGCGATCAGGTCACCCACCTGGCATGGTCCAAAGAGCTGAGCCAGTGTTCGCTGTGGGGCCACGGAAGCTTGGCCGGGTGTAGCTCAAGGTCACCGGCCTTGACAGATTCGTTGAGCGCGTAGATCACGCCGGCAACGCCGGCACCCACCGCGCCGACGGTGCCCAAGAGCTGCGGACGCCGAAAGATAGGTCAGTGCTTGAAGGTGAACTCATCACTAGGGGTGTCACAAACCGGTCGAGGTTCGAGTTCAACCAGGTTAAACTTTTCCGAACTTCTTGCGAAAAGTTAGACAAATGTTCGACTTGGGTTCAACTGCTATGCGCATGTGCGACGGGCTGGCCAGTTGGCTGGCCAGTTGGCTTCGGACTGGATGGTGACGGCTAAGGGACGAATTAAGTGCGGTACTGATTGGTTATTTCACTTAATACAGTACAGAAAAGTAAGTTATTAACTTCTTCAGTCATTAGAATCAGCTTCTCTTTAAACTGCAACTGTTCATAAAATTAAAAAAAAAAAAAAACCTTTGCATAAAAAAAAAAACTTCTAACATAGACATGCTTGTATCAAGGTCTGGCCACACTGTTCACAAAGTCGAACTTGGTTAAAAGTTCGAAGGTTCGTTGAACCGTTTCGAACTCCAAAAGTTTTACCTAAAAATCCAGTTCGACAAATGTTCGCTACACTCCTAATCACGAGTGCTTCCATCGCGCAACTACTCAGCCGCACATGATTGTAAACCTGAGACTGGGGCAGAAAAGGGAACACAACAGAAGGTAGTAAAAGAGGAGGCAACGTCTCAACGTCCTTCTGTTGTGTTCTCTTTTCTGCCCCAGTCTCAGGTTTACAATCATGTTCAACTTACACCGCTCGCCTGCACTCTGACTATTTTTTCGTTTCTCAGTCGCGAGAGCTAAGTTTACTTACCACTTTCTTGCCACCACTCAGCGGCGTGGTGTACGTCGATGCATGCGCCTAAAAAAAAAAAAAAAAAAATACCGGCGTTTAATTATTGCCGAGTAGTCGCTCGAAGAGGTTTCCTAGCGTTATGTAAGACGGCAGCGAACACTAACACACCAAATGCACTATTTCCTTACGCAATGGGGAACCGTAACCTTCAAAAATTCATCAAAAGGTTGTCCTTTAAGCGTCCGACCTATTCCTGGGCACGTTTACGCCGAGATCACTCGCGGTCGCTACACCAACAACGGCTGCGACCAGAAACCACACGTTTGTCCCGTTTTCCCGATATCTCTTCAACTGGATCCCAGATCATTCGCGTGCACTGGTACCACGATGTGTCGGCGCGACGTACGACACTTTCTCGAGTTTGAATGGGCAGGAAGGGAAGTCTTCGTATGGAGACGATACAACGTCGCCCTAAGGTTCGTGCTCGGCCGCTCCGACAGTAACACGGGAAGATGTATAGCGATATATGTTTGTCGTACCTTGCTGAGCAGGGATCCTGGCTGTAGTCGAAGTAAACAGCATTTGCCGAACCTCCCGACGACCGCAGCCATTCTGCTGGGGGGCAGCTAGGGGCAGCAGAGGACGTTCACGTTGCAAACGAGATTTAACGCGAGCTTCTACGAGAGTGGCAGAGTGGAATGTGGGGCTATGATGTGGGGAGTAGAGATCAGTGGTGGGGAGCCACGCTATGCCCCTATGCCTGTCAGCTCCGAGCACTGGCCAGCGGAAGGGAGAGGGCAAATAGTACGTGTGGTTGCCGTGCGGTGGAACCACCTAGGCGTACAAACGTGCCGTGTAGTGAAGCCAACGATCTCTTCCGTAGAAGGTTCAATAATGTCGCCCCAGCAGCACCGACCAAGGAGGTTAGAAGTACTAGGAGGGGGCACGTTGCAATATTGGTGAAGCCTAGTCATAAAAAGTTTAAACGATTTTGTGCCCAGCGTGACCGCAGATCTCTCTGGCGATTGGTGCGCGTGACACGTCACGTGTGAGATGGATGGTTGATTGTAGAAGGACTCCTTGCAGGCTTGCGCGCGCTCCGTCCGGTAGGTTTTATCAGGTCGAAGTCTAGACTGTGGTGTATTCTAGTACCCCACAACAAGACGAACTCTAGCTACGGTCACGTGATGTGGTCACGTTGGCATGGTAAGTGAGGAGAGTAAGGAGGAAAATGAGAAAGAGGCGAGGCGTCAAGGGAGCATGGCTTGTGGAGGCTACGCGGCCGACGTCATGCCCTCTCCTACCCTTCTATTCTCCATGGCACCGACAGCAAGAAATCTAAATGTTTTTGACTGACAGCTCGGGACCAGCTCGCCGTTTTCAACGGAATATTACTTCTTATTGTCCTACCTTTTCACCCGCACACGACCCGGCGCCAACTATTTCTAGGTGCGCGATGCAAGGTGACCGCCAAAGCCCCAAACTGCCGCCAAAGCAGACGGTCAAGCGGCCAAGCGTTCTCCGCGTTCGCGCTGCAAAAGCGAAGCCTGGCCGTGCTTGTTTCGTAGTTTCGTATTTTGTCTCAGCGAAACTCGTTTGAATCAGGGCGGTCACTTTTAGAACAGTTTTCGGCATGTTGTTAAAAAAACGTATATATGATATATCTTCAATAATAAGGTAAATACAACATGCTAGAAAAATAGACAAAACGAACGTCCACCAGGCGGCGCTACCTAGCTGAACGTGCGTGTTGTGAGGTGAAGCATCGGGCCTGGACACGTCCTGGAGAGAAGCTGACAGGCATAGTGTAACTTATATAGGAGGCACTGGGGGAGCACTCTATCTTCCACCGTGGTGGGGAGCGTGGAAAGCAACCGGAGCAACAACGTTGGTGAGCGGTGAATGGAAAAAAAAGGCACAGTCGGGGACAAAAGTCCCCAGGACGGGCGAAATGCGACTGAAAAAGTATTATATCTAGTGCTTCAAACTGAAACGTATTGCTCTGCCATCTGCCGGCGGATCGCCTCGTTTGGAGATCACACAACAGCGCATGCGCGTCCTACTGTGTCTGCAAAGGCGTGTGTTTTCCCCAAGGAGGATAGAGGGTAGGAGAGGGCATGACGTCGGCCGCGTAACCTCCACAAGCCATGCTCCCTTGACGCCTCGCCTCTTTCTCATTTTCCTTCTTACCCTCCTCACTTACCATGCCAACGTGACCACATCACGTGACCGTAGCTAGCCTTCGTCTTGCTATGGGGTACTAGAATGCACCACAGTCTAGCCTTCGATCTCATAAAACCTACCGGACGGAGCGCGCGCAAGCCTGCAAGGAGTCCTTCTACAATCAACCATCCATCTCACACGTGACATGTCACGCGCACCAATCGCCGGAGAGATCTGCAGTCACGCTGGGCACAAAATCGTTTAAACTTTTTATGACTAGGCTTCACCAATATTGCAACGTGCCCCCTCCTAGTACTTCTAACCTCCTTGGTTTTCCCGCTTCGGAGATAGCGCTTGCGGCTGACGAGCGTCTGCTGCACATTCCGAAGCTGGAGATATACCGCCTGCTGCGGCATTGCGCCGCATTTCGCCGTGTCAGCGCAAATTGCTTTTATAACCAGGTGAGCTGCCGTGATTTCTTTGCTTCATAGGTGCCATGTCAGTAAGCGCGCCCGATTCCGAGTTAGGCGCCGCGCCGAAACACACATGTTTGCAGGCACAGAGTAGGACGCGCATGCGCTTTTGTGTAATCTTCAAACTAAGCGACCCGCCGACAGATGGCAGGACAATACGTTTCAGTCGCAGCTTCAACGTTACTGGCCCTAGAGCAGAGTAGCGCAATCGAGAACGCCATCTCTCGGCGACTAGCGGCAAACGCCCGAGGGTTCCAACTCCGGTCACAAATGCATGGGGAACGTGAGAAAATCGCCGTTTCTTGAATATTTTGGGGGTGTACGGAACGACAATAGTTTTGGACATAATAAAGGAACTGTTTATAATAATTTGTGCTAAGTTGTGTGCCATGTAATAACGTAATTTGTTTAAAAAAAAATGCCTGAGCGGCATCGTGCAGCAGACGACGTGGTGACGTCACACCGTTCACGTGACCCGCTCCAGCCAATCCATAAAGTCCATCTCCGCTGCGCAAAACAATCGTCTGCTTCAAACGCCATTGCCTTGGAAATTGCCTTCTCAAAATTTTCACATGCGTCCAATATTATTAAAACTTTGATAAAGTGTTTAGTACTTTACCAACTTCACGACAGACTAGTTTTGAAAAGTGTGAACTCGCCGTTTATTTTTCAATCAGCCGTGTTGAGTCGATCTCCATGTATTCTCCCATAGGCCGGGCCGCCTCCTGGAACCCTGAGTACCACGCAACGTTACCAAAACACTCAGTTGGGAAGCTCCCATAAAGACAGCTTTGAAAAAGTGGCCCCAATCTGTCTCCGAGCACCGAGCTAATGACGAACACAACGCCACCATTATCCATTTCTCCCTGCAGCGGCCACTCGAAGAACTGCACGTGACTTCTACTTTGGCTGTAAGAACCAAGGAGGTTAGAAGTACTAGGAGGCGGCACGTTGCAATATTGGTGAAGCCTAGTCATAAAAAGTTTAAACGATTTTGTACCCAGCGTGACCGCAGATCTCTCTGGCGATTGGTGCGCGTGACATGTCACGTGTGAGATGGATGGTTGATTGTAGAAGGACTCCTTGCAGGCTTGCGCGCGCTCCGTCCGGTAGGTTTTATCAGATCGAAGTCTAGACTGTGGTGTATTCTAGTACCCCATAGCAAGACGAAGGCTAGCTACGGTCACGTGATGTGGTCACGTTGGCATGGTAAGTGAGGAGAGTAAGGAGGAAAATGAGAAAGAGGCGAGGCGTCAAGGGAGCATGGCTTGTGGAGCCTACGCGGCCGACGTCATGCCCTCTCCCAGAGCCTTTTATACTGGGAGAGTTCGGCGGTTCTTTGATCCAGCCGCCAGTCTGGCAGCACTGATCAAACAGTCTGGCAACTGTGCGCATCCGCCATGATGTGCCTTGCCGTCTAGCTTGATTGCACCTTTGCATTTAATTGCATTATAATTATAACCTTAAATTGCAAGCTTCACCCTTGTTTGGTGTAAGGCTGGTGGCGGCTGATAAAACCCGTTTGGCCTACTGACTCGAGCCGGCAGTCGGCTCGCTAGAGTCCATGGAGCGAGAGACGACGATGAAAATGATCGTTCTGCGCTGCGCTCTGCCAGACGTTAGATGAAAAAGAAATGGGGGGCTGCAGTGCCGTTGGGTGCTCGAACAACGCGAAAAAGGGGTTCAGGATGTACCGGTTCCCGCAAGGAAAAGAAAACCGCGCAAGGCACAAGATCTGGGAAACCAAGAAGGGCTGACTGGAAGCCGAGTTCTCGATTGTGCGAGGTAAGTTTATGATTAACGTATGATTAACGTAACAAAATGCTTGATTTTTCTACTTTCTCCTTACGCCAACAAAAGCGCAAACGGCAAAACCTACACGCGTATACATCGCATGTCAATGGGGACCCACTCGCCGGGAGGCACATCATGGCGGCAGCGGCGCCCGCTGAGTCCGCTGGACCTAGCGGGCCGTAAGCCCCTCCCACCCGCCGAACTCTCCCAGTATAAAAGGCTCTGCCCTCTCCTACCCTTCTATTCTCCATGGTAAGAACAGATACAGCGGTAGATGTTACAGTGATGCCACCCCCGCCTCCCCGGCGGACGCGCCGCGTTGAACTACCGAAGTTAAAATGCACCTAGGTCGGGACGCGCTACCTGAAAGGCCCGCTAAGGCATGGTTGTATAAAAACAATATTAATTGTTCCGCAAAACCTTGCGAACTAAAGATGATAAAAACATCACGCGCCCATCATTTGGTACTAAACTCCAATAAATTTAATACAAAAAGAGTCTTTTCCGGTTGTTTTTACGCAAAAATAGGCTTTCAAAAAGCTCGAGGTGATTATAGTACAGACAAACGAAAAAGAGTGGCGCTGTTGTCGCATTTAGCTCGGTCTCGGTGGACGCCAGCGGCCCAGGTTTCGACGGCGAGTTTCCCAACTGAGTGTTTTAGTAACGTTGGTACCACGTGACTCGCGCCGAGCTGCTCTGTCGGCCATGTTGTCGGCGAAACACGCGGATCAAAGGATTGCGCTACTCTGCTCCGTAGGAGCTATAGACCAGTGTCCGCGCCAATTCCAGGGCGCCGCCATGTTTATCTACGCACGCGCCACCACGCGGAGAGAACTGGCAGGCAGGAGGGGGGGGGGGGGGGCTGCGTTGGCGGCGTTGCCAGGCGTTGCTTTGGGGAGCTGGACGCGGCAGATTGTCCGAATGCCCCGGCACATCGTGAAAGATGTCTTCACCAGAAGCCTCTGCGGCCCGTTCTTCAACAGATAAGATGTCGTGAACATTCGAGAACCCATCTCGATCGAGAAAACAAGAGAAAACCTTGTCTTAAATGTTCTCGGTGTCTGCTGACCCTCGACATCCCCTTTTCAGTCCGGGTTCATTGCGTAGTAAATATTTCGCTGCCACTTTCTTGTAGCTTTCAAATGCTTGATTGTCGGCTTCTTGTATACGACATTACATTCGTGGCACGTTTGAGACCGATTTTCGCGATCTGCTTGCCTTTCTGCGGCAGCGCGGCTCTGCCGAGCCGAAATAAGTGGGAGGCGTTCACTTGATCGAACGCCGTTTTAGCGAATGAAAACGAGACCACGACGTTTCATCGAAGGACTAGCGAATGGGTCTAGTTCCATAGACAGCTCGGATTAGCTTTCTTTTGTAATGTGCCGCCTTGTCTGCCGCCGCGAAGCGGCGAAAACAAGGGCTCCGAGTGTGTTAGCACGCGTCCCCCCCCCCCCCCCCCCCCCCACACACACACACAAACACACACACGCTGCGAGCGTCTGGGTTCGAAACTATTAATTGCCAGTTCTAAAGGATGGTAGTTA